CTCTGCCTGCCTGTGCTCTTTCTCTCTCACTCTAACAAATAAATAAGTAAAATCTTTAAAAAAATAAAATGAAAACAGTAATACATGTACTTGCTTAAAAAAAATTTCAGGTGGTAGGTAATCCTCTCACTCAGTTCTTAGGTCTGATCCATCCTTGAAGGAGGTAAAAGTCACACATGTAAGGATCCATCCTAGGAACTGAGGGTCAGTCATTCTCACTTCAAGCCCTTAAGGCTGAGAGAGCTTAACTCAGCGGGGACTTAGCAGGTAGAGGGAACTAGCACTAGGGAAGTGCCTGGCAGACACTCAGACTCCAGTCCGGAGTTTTTGTTGAGCTCTTGCAGGTTGTCATCTGCTTGGATATCCCGCAAACAAATCCCAACAGTCCCCAACTGAAATTCTATTGCCCTTAGTTCTGTCGCCCTTCAGACAGCAACTCAGGCAGCACCCACGCCATACGCTTGAGATCCTAGGCTCCTACCTTTTTTATCTGACCAAGTGCTGCCATTTTTATTCCCAGAATATCTTCCCAGTCCATCCCTTGTCCTCCCAATCCCCAAATCTGCATTTTTCTCATGGGCTTTTCCAGTAACCACCACTCCCATCCCCTCAGCCCACCCTTTGGCCAAATATATCTGACCCTGTCTCCCCTATAGATCCTATCAGCACCTGCTGCTGGCATGTTCCTTAACCAGACTAAACCCCTGCTTTGTGACCTGATCCCAGCCACAGTCAGGAGCCTGCCCATGAGTTCATGCTGTAGCAGGGCGCAGACCAAACCAATGCCGCTCTCCTGCCTGCCTGGCCAGCTCCCACAGAACGTTAGCAGCCCTCCTCGGGCCTCATTGCCTGCCAGCGTTTTTCCCAGACATCAGCACCTCTGCTCAGTTGTCACATACTTTTATTTTTTTTTATATTATTTTTTTAAAAAATTTAAGATTTTATTAGAGCACATGCAAGAACATGTGTGTGCACAAGCAGGGGTATAGCAGGAGAGGGAGAGGGAGAAGCAGGCTCCCTGCTGAGAAGGGAACCCAGTGAGGGGCTTGATCCCAGGACCCTGGGATCATGACCTGAGCCGAAGGCAGAGGCTTAACCCGCTGAGCCACCCAGGTGCTCCTTCATAAATTTTTTTTTTAAGATTTATTTATTTATCTTATAGGGAGAGAGAGCACAGTGGGGAGGGCAGGGGGAAGAGAATTTCAAGCATACTCCTTGCTGAGCATAGAACCCCACATAGGTCCAGGACCCTGAGATCATGAGCTGAGCCAAAATCGAAGGTCGGATGCTTAACCAGCTGAGCTACCCAGGTGCCCTGGTTTTAATTTTAAAAATATGGATGAACAGGGGCACCTGGGTGGCTCAGTGGTTTAGGCCTCTGCCTTCGGCTCAGGTCATGATCTCAGGGTTCTGGGATCGAGCCCCACATTGGGCTCTCTGCTCAGCGGGGAGCCTGCTTCCCTCTCTCTCCCTGCCTCTCTGCCTACTTATGATCTCTCTCTCTCAAATAAATAAATTCTTTAAAAAAAAAATAAATACGGATGAACAGGGGCACGTGGGTGCCTCAGTTGGTTAAGCGACTGCCTTTGGCTCCAGTCATGATCCCCAAGTTTTGGGATCGAGTCCCACATTGGGCTCCCAGCTCCATGGGGTGTCTGCTTCTCCCTCTGACCTTCTCCCCTCTCATGCTCTTTCTCACTCTAATACATAAAATCTTTTTTTTTTTAAATACTGATTAACAGAAATAAGCCAGTGTATTTTTACCATATCATGGCATTTATTACTAACATTTGGATATGTGTTTTACAGACATGGGTTCATGCTATTTATGTTTTATTTAAAACATTGATCTTGGGGCGCCTGGGTGGCTCAGTGGGTTAAAGCCTCTGCCTTCGGCTCAGGTCATGATCCCAGGGTCCTGGGATCGAGCCCCACATCAGGCTCTCTGCTCAGCGGGGAGCCTGCTTCCTCCTCTCTCTCTCTCTCTCTGCCTGCCTCTCTGCCTACTTGTGATCTCTGTCAAATAAATAAAATCTTTAAAAAAAAAATTGATCTTTCCATGTCACTGTGTAAATTTTTTTAAATTGTTTCCATTTAGCCAATCTCATAGGGTTGGCTATCCACCTGTATGCCATCTATATACTCTGTGTAACATGTATCAGGAAGTTCAGCGTTTTTGGTCTGACAATTTTCAAACCGAGCGGTGGAAGGAATAGTTGAGTGGACACGCATATGCGCAGATGCGTGCACATGCCTGTCCCCGGCTGCCAGTTGCTCACTCTGTGCTGTTTCCACTATTCTTCTTTTGCTGAACCTCTGAAAGTTAGCCGGAGACATCTTGTTGCTTTACCTCAGAATGTCAGGGTGTCTCTGTCCCCTGAGAATAAGGTGTGCTCCACAATCCTGTTACTAGACCTGAGAAATAGGACTTGCTGTGTCACCTACATACGGTCCAGTTCTCAAAACATCTTCCCTTGGTCCTTTCACATTCCATGAAGTGGATATACCTCTGGTCCCTTTTAATTTAGAATAGTTAGTTGTACTGGTCTTTTTCCCCATGACACATGTTTTTAAAGTCCCACGTTCTAGATTCATTTCCTTGTGATCAGATTCAGGTAAAATGATTCCAGGCGGACCCGGAGGTGGACGTCCCTTTCAGCCCATCAGATCGGGAGCAGCGGGGCTTGCTGCATTACTGCTCTTGCCGTGTAGGACGCAGCACGTGGACGTGAAGTCTACACACCGTGAGCTTTTGGAGAGTGGAGATGTGTGCTCAGGCCCTGCCTTGCAGTGTGCCTGGTCCTTGGTGGGCGTAGAGTGGTTTCATGGAGTGAATGCATGCGCTTGCTGTTGGGGGGACACAGAAGAGTGAAGAGTGATGTGAAAGAACAGGAGACCGGGCAGGAAGCTGGTCAGGACTGGCCTCACAGCCACCCTGGCAGCAAGGGAATGACCTACCACAGATCCTCAAAGGCATTTGCAGGAGACTATCAAATCCAAATGCACAAGGGCGCCTGGGTGGCTCAGTGGGTTAAGCATCTGCCTTCGGCCCAGGTCATAATCTTGTGGTCCTGGGATCGAACCCTGGGTTGGGCTCCACACTCAGTACAGAGTCTGCTTCTCTCTCTCTGCCTACTCATGCTTGCTCTCAGATAAAATCTTACCAAAAAAACAAATGCACACAATCTCATTTATTATGTTTGAATTCACACACCCTTTGGAATGCTACTCTGGGCCAGTTCACTGCCTACCTGTGTTGGCACATGAGTCTGTCAAAGATTTTTCCAGCAGGTTCTTAGAGTAAAAGATCTTTGCAGCTGCTTCACATCCAGATCCTAAAGTAGCATCATCAGCAAATTATCTGTGTGGACTCCGTGACTTTCCCCCCTTATTCTGGCTCCTCTGAGACTTTCCCAGCTACAGAGGACATGAAAGGGTATCCCTGCCACGTGTGTGGTTAAGATGGCAGCAAAGCGGTCTGTTCAGCGCCAGCGCCGCAGAACTGTGGGGCCTTCAGCAGAAACGAACACGGATGCATTTTTGGGCAAAAAGTGCAGCTGCCAAGGGCTGAAAGGTCCAGAACAGCTGACCCCAGATGTTAAACTGTGGTCCATCCCCATCAAAGGAGCCACTGCAGCCTGTTTTGTTCCCTTGTGGCTCCCCAGCACCCAGGAAGCACTCAAGCTATTTGCGGATTAGGTGCTGCTGTGCCAGATTAAGGATGCTTCTTATGCGCCAATACGGCATCTTCCAAGAACTTGTACAGTATTAAGGTGTATATTTAAGCGGGGCGCCTGGGTGGCTCAGTGGGTTAAGGCTCTGCCTTCGGCTCAGGTCATGATCAGATCCCTGGCTGGGATCTAGCCCTGCATCAGGCTCTCTGCTCAGCAGGGAGCCTGCTTCCCCCTCTCTGCCTACTTGTGATCGGTCAAATAAATAAATAAAAATATTAAAAAAAAATGTATATAAGCTGCAGTGTAATGATGAGTGCTTCCTGTTACTGATGAAGGAGGTCTGTCTGCCTCATGTACCTGGAGCGACAGAGCAGGAACTGGCAGCATCCGGTGTCCCCAGGAGGGAACCCAGGCCCATCTCAACCCACAGCCACAGGAGCCTCTGCCAGCTGAGGGTCCCTCACAGTCCCTGCACTTCGGTGTCACTACTTGCTACCTATCACAAGCCCTTGATTTCCTCCCTCCTACCAACTAGCAGTTTCAGTAAAAGTAAAGCAATTACTTTGACAGGTCTCCAGCGAAAGCTCATCAGGAGCCAGGTAACTGGCTGCTTCCGCCCTCACAGGACCTCACACAGTGCTAAGAACAAAAGGTGTGGTGCGGCTACTTACTGAAGGAGGGCAAAGGGACCCAGGTCAAACTGACCTTCCAGGAGCCAAGAGAACTTTCTATCCTCCCAAAGGATTAAATTCTGTTAATTTGGAAAGAGATCCGTAAGAGAGGGAGGAAAAGCTGGTCACACATGCTGGTGCCAGCTACACAACTGATAAACTTAAGACAAAAAGTTCTTTTTTCACTAATACTCACTCCTTATACTGAAGACAATGGGAGAGAAATTTCCGATGCACTGCTAGAAGAGTCATTCTTTATATGCATGAATACCAGTGACTAATCAGAAAATCTTTAAAATTATTAAGCAAAGTTAAGACTTGGGGTGCCTGGGTGGCTCAGTCAGATAAGCATCTTTTTTTTTTTTTTAAAGGTTTTTATTTATTTATTTGACAGCGATCACAAGTAGTTAGAGAGACAGGCAGAGAGAGAGGGAGAGGGAAGCAGGCTCCCCGCTGAGCTGAGAGCCCGACACGGGACTCGATCCCAGGACCCCGAGATCATGACCTGAGCCGAAGACAGCGGCCCAACCCACTGAGCCACCCAGGCGCCCCAGCATCTGACTCTTGATCTTGGCTCAGGTCTTGATCTCGGGATGATGAGTTCCAAGTCCTGCACTGGGCTCCACGCCCAACAGAAGCCTGCTTGATAAAATATTAAGCAAAGTCAATATAAATAAGCACTTTATAGGCACTGAAAAACTGAAGACTAAGAAAAATGTTGGCTTTATAGATTTATTTTCAAAGGAAAAAACAGACAATTTAAATACAAGTCTAAACAGAATTACTCTGTCAAAGGCAGCAATAATGCCAAAACGCGTTCTCACTTCCAGACACTCGCCAGCATCTTCCAACTCTTCTCTCAGTGAAAAAAGGGGGTCTGGCAAAGACAAAGTTAGTTCAGTGTTTCTTTTTGGTGCACTTTCGGTGATTTGATGTGCTCAATATAGGGTAATCAAAGTTACAGACACTTAATACAATGTTTATTTTTAAAAAGTCAACTGATCATAATACTAGAGCCTGAAAAACAGCTAATGTTTACTGACAGGCTTCTTTACATGTTCTGTCTTAAGTAATTTGTATACACTACTGAATTTTACCTTCAGGAAAGCCTCAGGTAAGTCCTATCCTTATCCCCATTTTCCATCTGAGGAAACAGGCTTAAAGGCTAGGCAGCCTGCCCAAGATCACCAGACTTACAGACCTTGACAGAGCTGAGAATAAAGCTCTCTGACTCCAGAGTCTAGCCTCTTAACCCAGGAGGCGTCTCCTGCCTGATTAAGGAGTCAGGCCATCTCAGGTTCCGGGACAGCAGGCTAGGCTGGCTTCCAAGGTGAAACCGAGGGCGGTAGGGGTCTCTGCTTCTGGGTTGCCCTGCTCGGTGTTTTGTACAAGACCGTTTTTGTGAGGAAGGCTGACAATCAAGGAAGTCCTGTCCAAGAATGAACTGTTCATGGCCTGTCTCAAGGATAAAGATAATCACTAATGCCAGCCCCCTCTGAGTGGCAGATAACCAGAGAGGACCTCTGTTTTATAACCAGTGAAAATCTGTCAAGGATTTCCAATGTTTGCATTTCTTCCCGGGTCTTCCTACTTTACTGAAGAACTACAGAGAGATTAATTCTATGGGAAGACATCATTCTGTAAGTCAAATTATTTACCTGATATTTTATTCATATACATCCTTCTTATCTGCAATGTAATCTACAATTTCTTGTGGACACATTAACTTCTCCGCATCTGTATCAGGAATTTCAAACCCTAAAAGTAAAATGTAAAATGCTATGTAGAAAAACAAATACTTTAAAATTAAACGCATCTCACGCTGCCATACCACCCACAAGTACATCAAAATTTTTCAGCAACCCTCAGTCCCATTTAAGTTATGGGCCAGTTATGTTCTAGACAACAATTGTATCATATTGGGTGTAACAGCTGGTTCTTTTTTAAAAGCTGTAATTCATAGGATAGAAAATTCATCCATTTAAAGTATAAAATTCAGTGTTTTTTAGTGTATTCACAAGTTGTGCAACAATCACCATCACCTAATTCCAGAACATTTTCATGACCATGTTCCCATCCTACCTCTAACTGATACCATCCCTCTAGTGAGCATAATCTGTGAGGAACTTGAACCACGTTCTGCTCTGTAGGATAGCAAAGAAGCCCCTTCGCTTTCATTCAGGCAACTTACTCAAAACTGAGCCATGGACCCTTAAAAGGTCTCTTGTGTACAACCGTCTGAGAAAGAAGCATAACCTGAGGGAGGCATGATGGGAAACCAGGCCTATGTGTGCGTGTGTTTGTGTCCTGGGCACACCCAGTTACTTCTCTGGGCACGGCCATTCAGGGTGCTCAGGTGTGCTCAGCTTCTCCACAGGTGAGGTTCTACCTTCGTCTTGGAGCCCCCACCTAGAGCACCCAAATCCCACCCCCAGGCCTTTCCTGGTCACTCTGCCCTCGGCACCACACTGGGCACTCTGCTAGCCCCATGTCAAGTACGTTCTAAGTGAGTGCACTGTCCCTGGTGTTGACTTCACCTGACCCACCCACCTTACCCCTGTAAGCGCACTGGGGGGAGCGGGGGCTCTTTATATATTTGACTCAAATCCCAGTTGTGACCCCCAACATTTCTTCCACCTAAATCAAGAATCACACTGTGCAGACCCCAAACGTATCCTGTTACCAAATTCGTCCTCCATGGCCATGATAATTTCCACTTGGTCCAAACTGTCTAAGCCCAGGTCTTTCATAAAGTGGGAATTTACCGAGAGCTGCAAGAAAAGAACACCAAACACAAAACTCAGATGGGACAGTATCTGCTTCTCAAAATAAAAGGTATGATGTCACTTAAAAGTCATAGAAGATGCTTACTGTAAAGAGGCCGTATTTTAAATATGAAGTGATAACCACCATTTTATGTTTAAGCTGTGCCAGCACATACTTGGTGCGCTTTGTTAACTTAAGCTGGTTCTGGAATGCTTAACAATACACACAAAGCTAATGATGGATTTCACTTTATATATTTTGGTAAGATCTGTGATCACTGCTTGGGAAAACCATCCTGGGGATGTAATGTGCAACGTGGTGACTACAGTCTTAAGGCTAAGCTGCGTATCTGAAGCTGCTGGAGAGTAATCTTAAAAATCTTCATCATAAGAAAAAAATTTCTGTGATTATGTGTGGTGACGGATGTTAACTAGACTTACTGAGATTAGTTCACAATTTTGGGGTGGGGCAGGGAGAGAATCTTATACAGGCACCAAGCCTCGTGCAGAGCCAGACACGGGGCTCAATCTCACAACTCTGAGATCATGACCTGAGCTGGAATCAAGAGTTGGACACTTAACAGACTGAGTTACCCAGGCGAGCAACCCCCCCTTTTCTCAACTCACATTATACTAATATCATTATGTTGTATACCTGAAACTAATGTTGTCAATTCGACCTCAATAATAAAAACCCCACTATCCTACCTACACAGCAGACTGAATTATTAAAGAAGGAATTTATGTACTACTATGAGAAAAATGCCAGTGGTTAAGTTAAAAAAGCAAACATTGCAGAACAATGTTTATAGTATAGTCTACCACTTCTGTGTCTTTTTAAAAAGGGTAAGCGGTGGGGGTGGGGGCACCTGGGTGGCTCAGTCAGTTAAACATCTGCCTTAATCAGGTCATGATCCCAGAGTCCTTCCTGCTCAACAAGGAGTCTGCTTCTCCCTCTGCCCTTCCTCCTACCCTACTTGTGCGTAATTCTCTAACAAATCTTTAAAAATAAATAAAAGGGTAGGAGATGAAGGTCACATAGTACATAAAATATACACATACGTACATATGTGAGTACACTTCCTTGCATATGTACGGAGTATCTCTGGAAAGATCTAGGAGAAGCTGGTTCCACTAGCTGCCTCCCAGAAGGGGAACCGGGTGGGTGAGAGTCAGGGAGACCTTCTACCGAATATCCTTCTGGACCCTCTGAAGTCTGTACCATTGATTAAATACTCATTTAAAGGGACACCTGGGTGGCTCAATGGGTTAAGCGTCTGCCTTCGGCTCAGGTCATGATCTCAGGGTCCTGGGAACGAGCCCCGCATTAGGCTCTCTGATCAGCAGGAAGCCTGCTTCCCCCTCTCTCTCTGCCTGCCTCTCTGCCTACTTGTGATCTCTCTCTGTCAAATAAGTAAACAAAATCTTTAAAAATAAATAAATTAAATAAATACTCATTTAAAGAAAGAACATTAAGCCACACAAATACCTTTTCTGGGTCAATCTTGTCATAAAGTTTCAAGACATAAAGAACACGGTCCTTGATCCCCTCTAACGTCAGAGGGGGTGCGTCGCTATACTGGCGGCACAGCTGTGTGAGCGGAACCTAGAACAAGGGCAGGAAGGAAGAGCTGTTGAACCCAAGATGCCTCTAGGTCAGTGCACCAGCTTACAGGAATCTTTCAGAGCTTTTAGTGCTTCCGAGAACCACCTCCTCTGATTTCCAGCTGGGACCATTAGGCCACCTAGAGTCACCACACTGGGTATTTTCAGAAGCCCTAGCAGTCCAGCAGCATAAAAACGGGCCTCCCCTCCCCTCAGAGCCTGGCTCGGCCCCCCATGGGGCCTGCGTCCAGCGCTCTGGCCACTCTACTGGCTCCAGGAGGAGCTGCCGCTAAAATCGCGCAGAGTCTGCAGAGTCGTGTGTCTTCTTGCCCCACCTTCTACAGCGCCAGGCTGCCCTGTAAGGCCCTGTCACCTTCGATCGTCAGTACGCTGGAGTCAAAATGGCCCACCTGGAAAGGGCTGTCGTGGTAAACAGAGAGGCAGCAGCTCCCTGGAGGAGCACACGCGGGAAGGTCTAAAATGGCCCCTGACCTCAGCCAGCACAAACGAGCCGGCTACCAACCCGCACAGCCCTCACGGTCCATCTGTTTCCCTGCAGGAGGGGCCTGTCGTATGGCCCCCAGCAAAACCATGAGCGTTTCTGATTTTTGCTGTGGTGGGAGTAGGATCTCAAATGTCTGTGATACCAGCCTACTTGATAATCAGCGAGGTATTAGGCTGCTGGCTGGATTCTTTCACCAAATACGGAGGGAACCCCAACTTACAGCTCATCAGGCGTAATGCCGTGGAAGGTACACTGCAGAACAAGAGGAAACAGCAGCTGTGCCTGACAGTCCCGCTCCCTGTGGAAGTCCCTCATCTGAACTGGTTTCTTTACCTTTTAACGTTCACTTGAGTTCTTAAGTAAGTTAATTTGGAGTTCTTACAGCATTTCTCCTTAGAAAGTGGGTTTGCGTGTTGGTACTCAGGTCCCTGACAGAGGCCTATGAAAATCATGACACTGCCAAATGAACCAAACCTGTATACACCACTAAGAAATATTTATCTTGGGAAAAAAAAAAAAAAATTCAAGTACTGAAATCAGGTTTAATCAGCAAGCTATAAAGAGATTAGATGAGGTGCTTCACGGATATTCTAAAGGTATTTCTAAGTGCTTTCAGAGTTTAAGAGCACTGGTTCTTTTCAGTCTCAATGTATGCAGTGTCCTTTCCTTTCCCACTGCAGTGTGGGTTCCGGAGACCTCTGCTGGGGGAACATCTCCAGGCCTACTTATCTACAATCACTGTAAGTCTCCCAGCCACAAATAAAATGAAGACGGAGAAGGGAAAAGAGGGAGATTAGATGACAAAAGAGAAGTTTGAGGGGGAAGGATCTGACAGAGGTCTTGTCTGTGTGCACATCAAGAAGTGGTATGAGCAGGGATTACTGCTGAGGAGAAAGAGAAAACGGGAGCTTCACTGCAAAGCCCAGGAGGAAGGATGAGGCTGGGGAGGGGACACGTTACATAATGACCCAAGGGGCCCATTAGGGGTCAGGACCATCCCCAGCCACACCAGCAAGTCCCCACACTTAGGCCACTGGACACCACATAGAGAAATTAAAGGTCTCCACCTGGAGAGCACAGGCCAGTCCGAAGTGTCGGGGCGGGGTGGGGGGGCTACAGTGGGCTCAGCATGGAGCAGGCAGGTCTAGTGCGTGACAGCTCCGACTGCAAATAAGACTGCCTACACCTGTACCCTGGCACTAGCTTTCTTACTAGCTGTTTGGCCTGGGGCAAGTTACTTAACCCTCCAACGCCACTTTCCTTACTTGTAAAATAGGGATAAGCCACAGTACAAAGGTCCCAGCACCGCTGTGAGGCATCACTGAGGGAATGTGAAAGGCTCAGGGCACTGCCAGGCACACCCACAGTGAGTGCTACTGAGCGCTATCTGGGAAGGCTGGGGTCCGAGACTGGTGGCAGTTGTGGCCCAAAGTACTTGATCCTACTCCTTCCCTCTTGAGCCTCCCCTTCTGATCTCTTTAGGGACTTCTTATCAGTCAGGCTATGGCGCTGTGCTGGGCACTTTACAAACCATTGCCTCCTTTAGTTCTGACATCAGTCCCATTTTACAGACAGGAAACGGAGACAGAGAAAGGCATCCCGCCCCTGGCCTCCCACCTTGGCCTCTGGGGAGGGCCTTACTGCCTCCTTCCTGCTCCATCTCAGCTGTTACAAAAAAGAGGAGGCACCGAACAGGCAAGCAGCTCAGCAGTGTCCCCGGCAGCCAACAATGTTGCTGGCGTTGTCTTCCCCCCGGAGATCTACACTTAACAACTCTACGTGACACAAGTCACTTCCCATAGCTGTAGGAGAGGGCACTGTGTGCAGGAAAAGAGTGACTTCCCTCTAGACTAGGAGAAACCAATAACCTGGTTCATCTATCAGAATTCATCTGTCTCCACTCAGTACATCTCTAGGGGAAACTGAGGAACCTCAGTTTAAAGCTTAGGAGAGTGATTTGCCGGCCAGCTCCGCCACCTGCCCCCTGGGCTGCTCCCCCTGGGAACAGACACCTCCACGTCAGTTTGGAAATACATTCCTTACCTGTCTTCCAAAATGCCTGCTCAAAGACCTCTATTCCTCATCAACCACCTGGTGCTCTGGCCAGAGACCTGAGAGCCCACCTCCACTCTTCCCACTGTCTCACCATCATGTTTACTGGGTGTCCCAGCCTGGCTGACTAGAAGGAAAGATCTCACTTATTCAACAAACCTTGTTTCATGTTCACTCCCTGCAGCCTAAACAGAACATCCACATTCCTCAGTGCCCTTCACAACATGCCTGCATCTTTATCTTGACTTGGGTCTCTCCATTCTACAGACACCCTGAGGGTCAGCCGTAAGAGCACCAGGAGCTCCCAGCCTCTGCACGTGCTGTCACACCCTGCTGAGTGCGTGAGCAACTGCTACCTCTGGGTTTGTGCTCACCGGGAGTGCTCGTTAGGTCTCTCTTCTGTGCTGTACGCACACCTGTCCTCACCTGTGGCTATGTCTTGTCTTCACACACAGGACTGTCTCAGCAGCCTGAGAACTCTGCCTCATATGCCAAGCACTGTGCTGTGGGTTGCAACTACAAAGAAAAATGAAACATGACCACTACCCTCAGAGAAGCTTAAGGTCTAATGGGAAAGATCAAGCCAAATAGATTATTTAAGTTGTAATAAAAATGTAGGAGGAGAGGCACCTGGGTGGCTCAGTTGGTTAAGCATCTGCCTTTGGCTTGGGCCATGATCCCAGGGTCCTGGGATCCAGCCTCGTGGCCGGCTCCCTGCTCAGCTGGGAGTCTGCTTCTCCATCTCCCTTTGCGTGTCCCCAAACTCATGCGCTCTCTCTCAAATAAATTAAAAAATCTTAAAAAAAAAAATGTGGCAAGAGCCATGACAGACATATTTGTAGGCTGCTTCTTGAACAAGAACTGTCATTCAGTCCCTGACAAGCAAGGAAGAGATACCAAACTTGGAGTTAGCCTTGGAAGGACAAGGACATTCAAGGAGGAAAGGCCAGGCCAAGAAAATGAGGCATGGGACTCATTGTGGGTCTGTGTGGGAAGAAATGAGTTCATGACTAAAGACTGAAGGTTAAGGTGGGACACAGGCTCTGAGGTTCAAGAGGCCCAGCACTGCAGACACTTGAAAAAGACAAAACAGCTGAACCCTGCCTGCATACGCGTTTTGCCTTCATCTGGGTACTGTGCCCCACAGAACTCTTAGGAAGTCCTCTCTGTGCTCTGGCTTTGAGACAGTTCAGATCTGTGCCGTCTGGATAAAGTACAAGACTTCCAGGTTCCATTCTAGGCCACTACCCTTTTTTCTTACCTTCTGCTTTATACCGTCTCATATTTTTATATCCAGGAGAACTGCTTTAACTCCTTTTGGGAGGGAAAAGAGTTGGAATATAAATGAAGAACTAGCTGCCCTGGAGTCAGCAAAGGATCTGGATCTGAGGAGAAAAAAAAATCTAATGGAACAGAACAGGTGCAGTGAGCAACAGTCCAGATGAAATGAGCAAGGCCTGGAGGTAGAAGTTTGGGGTAACTGGGAAACAGGGGAACAGAGTGAAGACACAGACAAGGAAGAGATTGTGGGTAAGAGATCTTTGGAATTTACCAGCATTTAAGGATTAGAAAGAAAGTGCCAAGGGGCAGGAACAGCGAGGTAAAGAACCAACCAAGACAAACAGTGTAAACAGCCTTGGGAACACGGCAGCAGGGAATGAGCTGGCAACTTTAACATGAGGCTGCAGTGTCCAATGAGATATTACCTCGTATCTTTCCTTTATATGTATCTCTGTACCCTTCAACACCTAAAATAAGGTCTGGCACATAGCCTGTCCCTCAGTTTCTTTGAATGAACAAGTATTTACTCTCTCTTCAATCGGCAAAGGATTTAAATGGGAACACGTAGTCAAAACCACTTTATAAATATAAATAAAATGCTGCTTCTGCTGTGTATGAACCAAGCAGAGGTAGTGGTAACCTCTCTGGGCACCCTGCTATTCAAGGCATGGTCCAAGGACCAGCAGCAGCAGAATCTTCTGGGAGCCCATTGGAAATGAAGCCTCTTGGGCCCCTTTCCAGAATCTATATTTTAACCCAAGGGATCTGTAACAACTAAGTCTGAGAATCAGTGCTCTTTGAATAAGGACAATCACTTTGCATTTTAGCTTACTGTGGAAATCAGTCTCAGGAACAAAATACTTGGCAAGTCTACATAATGCCCTTTTAACTCTTAATTTCAGGGTGACACTGTTAACCTTTTGATTCAGGCAATGGGGCCAATGCCCTATGAATTAATCCATTACATGGTCAGTACATCTCAACTCTAGCCACACAAAAGAATCACTTGATGACTTCTAAAAACAGACACCCAGACCCCAACTCTGGAGATAATGACTGATTTGGTCTGGGCATCCTTATGTTTTATTCTAAATGTATTCAATACTGAAATGCTAAAACCACTATCATATTAAGTTCACAGGTTTGGGGGTTTCTCAACCTGGCCTTGAGAGTTTATTCTACCTTAAGGCAGTACTTGATCTCGGCCGAACCCTTTAGTCATGTGGCAAACTTAAATGAAAACACATGCCAGTGCCTCATCTCTGAGAAGTAAATCAAAAGGGGTGGGGGTGGGGAGCAAGGGACTTTTGCACCCCCCCTCCTTTAAGCTACTCAGGTGATTTGAATGTGCAGCTAGGGCTGAAAATCACTACCGTAACAAGAATTTCTGTCTCACAAAGGTGTCATCGGACAGAAAAGCTAGATACTACTTTTCCCCTATCTTTACTTCCAGGAGGCCCGTAAACGGGCAAAAGACATTACAGGGAGAAATCCTGGGCTCAGACTGCTCTGGAGAAGGTTGTAGGCCAGTGTGACTTCCTTTTTGCACCCTGTCATCAATTTTCCCCTACAAAGCTACCACGGAATTTGTCGTTATCACTACGACCAACTGGGACCAATATGGGGAGGTTTACAAGCACCCCAAATAGGTGCTCTCAAAACCTCATTGCACCTCCACGAAGTAGAGACTAGTACCTCCACTTTGCTGTTCAGACCGAGAGTGGCGAGGTCAAGAGACTTGCCCAAAGTTTCGCAAAGTGGCTGCTAGCATTCGAACCCAAGGATGTTTCATTGTTAGGACTGCACTCCGGTCTGGGGTCGACCAAGCACCGTGAGGGACTGGGACGGGGGGAAAGCCAGATGTCGCCCGGTCACCCCCGCCGTGGCTCGCGTGGCCCCGCTGCCTGGCCCCTCCCCCGCACCACCCCAATCCCTGACCCCTGCCAAGCCCCAGCAAAGTCACCGCGAGTCACCTGCGCGAGCACCGAGGCTGTCTGCGGAGCCCCAGGCCTCGTCCGGGCCCCCGCGGGGCACAGGGTGATGCTGAGCGGCCGGGCTGCGGCCAGCGTGGGAACCCGGGGCAGCGGCGCGAAGGCCGCGGGCAGTCGGCGGACACAAGCTGAAAGGACACGAGCCGCCATGGTTACGCCGACCCAAGATGCACTGCGCCGCGCCCTCCGGCCCAGTTTCCTCTCCGCTCGGCGTACAGGACGCACAGAGCGGCGCAGGCGGACGCCAATGGCCGTAGCGGCCCCTAGCGGCTCCTGGCGGTACTGCTCCCCCGGGGTGCGCGGTCCTGCCATTCAGGGCCAGACGCAAAAGGCTGGTAGGGCCAGAACCTCGCTCCTCCGGTCTTTCCCTAAATACTAATGATTGACACAAGAAAGGAAATTATTTTTATATATTCTCTAAATGTTCTGGCACAGATTTGTTTAGAAGTTTTGACGTTGCAATTATTCCATAAGTATTAAAATTACATAGGTATAAAAATTATATATAAAACTATATATTTAATTATATAGGTATAAAATTACCGAAAAAACATAAATAAATTTTAAAATATAAGTAAATAAAAATAAAATAGACTGCATAGTACCATCCCATTGCTGTAAAGTTATTTCTATTTATGCATTCATTAAGAACTTGAGTACCTGTTGGGGGCGCCTGGGTGGCTCAGTGGGTTAAACCTCTGCGTTCAGCTCAGGTCATGATCTCAGGGTGCTAGGATAGAGCCCTGCGTCCGTCTCTCTGCTCCGCAGGAAGACTGCTTCCCCTCTCTCTCTGCCTGCCTTTCTGCCTACTTGTGATCTCTCTCTCTCTCTGTCAGATAAATAAATAAAATCTTAAAAAAAAAAAAAGAACTTCAGTACACCCTGTTGTGTGCTGGTAGTTATGTGCCTGTTGCTACAGCAGTGGGCAAGCCAGGCAGTCTATTCTCATAGAGTTTACATTCTAGTGGGAAGATAGAAAATAAGTAAAAATAAACACCTCCCCTAAGACAAAAAATTCAGGGAAGTAATGATAAGCACAATGAAGAACAGTAGAGAGCGGGATAGTGAGGGAGTACTGCAGGTGCGCTATTGTAGAAAGGTGGGCCCCGAAGGCCTCTTAGGAGGTAATATCTGACCTGAGACTTTCATCAGTCTGGGGGAGGGAACAGAGAGCCTCAGGAATCATTCTGCTGCTGGCGATGCCGAACAGAGTGTCCCCAGCAGTGCAAACAGTTGACACCAGGCTTCTCTAGCATCCTGATTCCATCACCATCACTTTACTGCCTATTAATCAGTTGGAAGCATAATTGTATCCCATCTTTGGGAATGGTCAGTGAATAAATAGCCCAGTTCCATTTTGGGTGGCAACCTTCGACTTCTGCAAAAAACCGGCACCAGAAAATCTGATTGGAGGACAAGGATCAGGGCCCATGAAATGGGTTCAAGCCACCAGTGACACACCAGCCTCTGATGCTCCTTCCTGGTCAAACTTTGGGCCAAACCCATGGGACAGATGTGTGATGTGACCGTGCAGCATTAACAGCACAGGGAGCATGCAAGAGCCTGACTGATTACTAAGCCCCGAGTTGCAACCCTCTCTTCCCACAACCTATCTGTATTTCTGTGTTACATTGAATCCTTTTGTCAAAATTAGTAAGGCCCCTCTTATTTATTTATTTAAAATATTTATTTATTTGACAGAGAAAGAAATTACAAGTAGGCAGAGAGGCAGGTGGGGGGAGGGGGGAAGCAGGCTCCCTGCTGAGCAGAGAGCCAGATGTGGGGACTGATCCTAGGATCCCGAGATCATGACCCGAGCAGAAGGCAGAGGCCCAACCCACTGAGCCACCCAGGCACCCCAGTACCCTCTTATTTAAATGACATACTTTGAAAAAAATAAAATAAATGACATATTTTGTTCCCCATGGTCCTCGTTGACCCACGCTTAACTTTAAAAACCCAACTTTTTTTTTTTTTTTAAGATTTTATTTATTTGACAGAGAGACAGTACAAGTAGTGAGAGCGGCAGGTCAAGGGAGATGGAGAAGCAGACTCTCCGCTGAGCAGGGAGCCCGATGCGGGACTCCATCCCAGGACCCTGAGATCATGACCTGAGCCGAAGGCAGCTGCTTAACTGAGCCACCCAGGCACCCCTAAAAACCCAACTTTTCAGAATTGATGCACCTCGGAGGGTTTCATTCCCACCTGCATCCAGCCCTGGCCTCTTCTCTGGGCTTCAGAGTCCTTTATCCAACTGTCGATTACCAGATGATCTGTAAGCACTCAAATGAGCTGTCTTCCCCCTTGTGTGTTCTGTTTCAGCTGCTGAGACCATTACCCACTAAGCCAAAAATTTAAGACTCCTTCTTCTACCTAAATCATGCACTCATTTAGCCTGCTCGTATCATTTCCTTCCTAAATTTCTCTCCAGGTCAGGTCTTTCTTTGCACAGACCCTGCTGCAGATGAAGCCCTTCTGGTCATCTTCATGCCTCCACTCTTGTCTACCGGAAATCCACTGTAGACTGTGTTGCTAGAGTGGGAGCTTATCGCTGAAGATCAAACTCTTCAGCAGTCCCTACGCCTGCTGAATAAAGTCCGAGTTTGTTAGCAGGTGTCACCAGCTCCCTGGCTACCTTTCTCACTTCCTCACTCCATCCCCCACAATACAATCCATTCTCTTGCAACAGTGAGTTGTTTGTAGTTCATGCCCTCCTGTCCTTTCTGCCTGGAATATCCTTTGCTTCTGCTCTAACCTACTTACCTGGCAAGACTCAGCTAGTTATCATCATCCATGGAGCTTTTCTAGAACTCCCCCCTGTTGGGCTAACTGCCCATCCTTTGAGCACTGTAAACATACCCTCTAAATTTAAAACACAATATTTATTGTTTTGCGTCACAGTCTCCCTCATTAGACTGTGTACTTTTTTTCTTTTTTTAAGATTTATTTATTTGAGGGGTGCCTGGGTGGCTCAGTGGGTTAAGCCTCTGCCTTTGGCTCAGGTCATGATCCCAGGGTCCTGGGATCGAGCCCTGCGTCTGGCTCTCTGCTCAGCAGGGAGCCTGCTTCCCCCTCTCTCTCTGCCTGCCTCTCTGCCTACTTGTGATCTCTCTCTCTCTGTATCAAATAAATAAATAAAATCTTTAAAAAAAAAAAAAGATTTATTTGAGAGAGAGAGAGTGTGCAAGCAGGGGTAAGGGAAGAGGGAGAGGTTAAGATCAATCGCTTAACTGACTGAGCCCCCCAGGTGCCAGACTGCGTACTTCCCAAGGGCCACGGCCTCACAGCAAGCATTTTCATAACTTCTATTTCAAGTATGTGCTCAGTGTTTGTTCAACTGTTACTGAACTGGAATTACTGCTTACCTCTACTGTTTTCCTAACTCTTAAATCTTATAGATGATATGTTTCTCAAGATCCTTGGGTAAATGAAATCTTTGTGAAAAGCTCTCTATTATAACATGGAGGACATTAGGAGAAGGAAAGGAAAAGTGAATTGGGGGAAATCAGAAAGGGAGATGAACCATGAGAGACTGTGGACTCTGAGAAACAAACTGAGGGATTGGGAAGGGAGGGGGGTTAAGAGTGTCTGGTGGTGGGTATTAAGGAGAGCACATATTGCATGGAGTAATGGGTGTGGTGCATAAACAATGAATCCTGGAACACTGAAAACAAAATAAAAGAAAAAGAAAAGCTATTATCTATGATGTGCTAGCAAATAAAAATATCTCATTTAGGCTAGAGATAGTGGGAGAAGAACAAGTGTAAGAGAGAATGCATAGGTATCAAAAGGAAATAATGAAGTTAGGAAAATCCGTACTAGTGAACATTATAAAAAGGTGTCTTTAAAAAAGAAGAAACAGGGACGCCTGGGTGGCTCAGTCAGTTAAGTGCCTGCCTTTGGCTCAGGTCATGATCCCAGAGTCCTGGAATCAAACCCCATCTTAGGGTCCCTGCGCAGGGAGCCTGCTTCTCCCTCTGCCTACTGCTCCCCCTGCTTGTGCTCTCTCTCTCTCTGACAAATAAATAAAATCTTTAAAACAAAATAAAATAAAAGAGAAGTAACAGAGAGGCACCTGGGTGGCTCAGTCAGTTAAGCATCTGACTTTGGCTAAGTTCATGATTCCAGGATCCTAGGATCAAGCCCCATCTCCCCCTGCTTATGCTCTCTTTCAAATAAATATATAAAATCTTAAAAAAAAAAAAAAAAAGAGAGAGAGAGAAGTAACAAATAATTAGGTTATATGGATCATGAATATTTACTCATTCAGTAAGAATGGTGAGCAAATAAATATTGCATGGGACAAAATTTCCAATGACACTACACAATAAAAACTGTAAGGATCTGTATCTCTCAAATCAAGTAGGCAAAGGTGAAGATGATGGGCTCAGGACATACAGCTGTGTTGACTCAAAGCGACTCTAGGGACACCCCAGGCGCTTGAATCAAGGATGGGTGTGAGAATGTAAAAGAACAAGGGCTTTTCTAAACTGGCATTCCTTAACAGCCTTCATATTACCTTTAGTAGGTATGTAAAAATAAGGCATTACAAATAGCATAGAAAGTATATTGCACATTAGTATCCTAAGTTAATTGAAATTTACTTATTATGCAAGCATCACTAAGTATTCTAGTTGTAAAATAACTAGTTCTGAAAATGATCATAAAAGGATAGGAAAAAAAATAAGCCAACCAGAATTATCAAAATAAATATTTATTAATATCCGAAGCTTTATGTACACCATTAAAAGCAAATGTGCAGATGTGAGGAATTACAAAAATCAGCCTAAAATCATTTCTCCCAAAGTAAATCTAAATGAACATTCAAGATCAGTGGTGCCACTACCAACAGAATAAAAAATGTGTCTAAATGAATATAAGTAATTATTTTAAATGTCTCCCAGATATTCTTTACATTACAACTCTAAAAAGTACTAACTGGTCAAAAAATCCAGAATGCTGTGTTCTCATCTTATCTTATTAGTAGTGGTACACAAATATATTTCCATCTTTTTGTCCAGCCAGCAAATGGGAATCTGTACCTGACCATTTCACAAAAGACCAATGCTGATCAGAGACAGGTGGGAGGAGAGCAGTACAGTGACCCAGAAGTAAGTCCCAAATGGCAATTGTTCCAGAAGTCAATACTGCGGCTGCAAAATGATCTTTCACATCCCCCTCCAGGAACCTAGTATCAAGCAGAGAAGAGACCATTCAAATCACATATCAAAAGAATTTTTGTTTTCTTTAAGCCAAAATCATGCCTCCCAAAGCAACCACAAGAACAAAAATCCGTATAAATATGATGCCCATATTTGCCACCCCAGGAATGCTCACAAGCATGATATCGTTTTGGACACAATCATGTGTCCAGTCCCTGTACCACCTGCACCCCAGCTCACAGGAGCCTGCCTGCCTTCCACTCTTCAAACTGGCCAAATTCCATGCACCTCAGCGCCTTTGCTCTTGCTCTGCCCTCTCTCTCTCTCTCTTTTTTTAAAGATTATTTATTTATTTGACAGAGAGAGAGAGAAATCACAAACAGGCGGGGGGGTGGGGGGAGCAGGCTCCCTGCTGAGCAGAGAGCCCGACAGGCGGCTCGATCCCAGGACCCTGAGACCATGACCCGAGTCGAAGGCAGAGGATTAACCCACTGAGCCACCCAGGCACCCCTCTCACCCTCTCTTTAGCAGACATTAGCTTAGCATGCCTGGGATTTTATCATCATTCAGGCCTGTCACCTCTGTAGAAAGGTCAGATCCAATCTCCTGTCTACATAAGTGTACACACATACATGGTGTCCCATCACATTACTTGTTTTCACTTATGAGATTATCCTATTTCTATCTATATATATTTTTTAAAGATTTTATTCATTTATTTGACAGAGAGAGATCACAAGCAGGCAGAGAGGCAGGCAGAGAGAGAGGAGGAAGCAGGCTCCCTGCTGAGCAGAGACCCCGATGCGGGGCTCGATCCCAGGACCCTGAGATCATGACCTGAGCCGAAGGCAGCGGCTTAACCCACTGAGCCACCCAGGCGCCCCATCCTATTTCTATATTTGCTGAATCTCTCTCCTACCAAATGTAAACATCATAAAGCAGAAACCTGATTGTCTTTTTAAGACAAGGGCTCTGCAATCAGTAGCCTGTGTTTGAATCCTAACAAAGAGTTGTGTGACCCTGGGCAAGTTCTTCAACTTCATCAGTGAAACAGGACTATGGTAGGAGTTGATATAAAAAACTCAGCACTGGAAGTGCTTAATATAAATTAGTTGTTATTCCTCACTGCCATACCCCCAGCACCTGGAAGAGGGTCTGGGAAACAGTCAACCCTCAGGGAATATTCGGAGCAACCTGAATATTTTTTATCCACCCACCCTGTGTGGCTGACTCCCAATGGTTCTTTTGAAATTCCAGAAAGTCCTCCCCGACAGTCTGCCCCAGCCCTTCACTGTCAGTAAGGGACCCCTCCAATCTTTGTGCTCCCAAACACTGCAAGCCTCATGGCATTTTGAACACTGAACAGTAGTCTTTAATTTTCTCCTATTTCCACAAGATGAGAAACAGTAGGTGCCCTCACACAACCAGCACAAGATAGGTTCTAAGGCTTTTGCTAAGCGAATGGGTTAGGACAGTGATGAAGGAAATGCTTGATCAAAGTAGTTGTCTTCATCCTCAATTTCTGGGCCAGTGACTACGCTTCTCTCTTCAAATCCAAAGAAACAAGTTCGCTATGGAAGCATGTACGGCCGGTGATAGTTATGAGGTTCCTGTGGAGCTAAGAACATTTGCAGATATGCCACCGCTGGCTATGTGCGGAGGGAGAGAGACTGTCTTTGAGAAAGTGATCCAGGAAGCACTGCGCTAGACCCAAAGAAACACAAAAACACATACTGTACCTATCAAGGTTCCTTATCTCTGTAAACTGTTAAAGCTAGACTTTGTGATTTTGACTTACTAGATCTATTTTCAGTCTTTGCTGCTAATTACAAACGTTGATAAAGGTGATCTCTGGGAATGACACATTCAGATATTGCTGGGTTGGCCTAACGATACCAGCACTGCCAAGAGCTCTAGGTAGGTCACAGAACCCCTGGGATGCCAATAGCTCTATCACTGATAAGTAGATCTTCTCATCAGTCAACAGATACATAGCAGCTGCTTACATCATGGAGACTCAGTCTGTTTTCAAAGTAAAAGATGCCTTCCTAAAGTAACACTTAAAACTTTCTTAATTTAGCTTTTTTTTTTTTTTAAGATTTTATTTATTTATTTGACAGACAGAGATCACAAGTAGGCAGAGAGGCAGGCAGAGAGAGGGGGGAAGCAGGCTCCCCGCCGAGCAGAATGCCCGATGTGGGGCTCGATCCCAGGACCCTGAGATCATGACCTGAGCCGAAGGCAGAGGGCTTAACCCACTGAGCCACCCAGGAGCCCCCTTAATTTAAGTTTTATGGAAAGGACATTTTTGTAAAGAATACCAGTTACTGTTTGTATTCAAAATGGTTTTGTTATGGGAAAAAACAGGGTTTGGATACACATGAAATACCTATCCCACTCCACACTGTTGGGATTCAGAATGTAGGGAATCTGGGGTTTGACTCAGATCTACTAAGCTTTACACTTCTTTTTGCTTCTTAACATTCTTACGATGCTCTTCCATGTTGCATGTTTTCCGTTCATCTAAGTGACAAAAAGATGTCTGTTTTTTGTATATGCCCAAGTGCCTTCCAAAATGTCACACTCAGTGAACAGCAGCACACACTTGCCTTCCAGCGTGCCCTTGAGGAAGACAGTACAGCATCACACCCACACTCAGGCTTGTCTTAGGGTTAATTACGATCAGCTGAAACACGGGGCTTCCCAGCGGCTCACTCTCCTTGGCACAAGGATGGCTCAGAACAACGAACAGGAGCCCCTAATTTAAGAGAAAAATTAATAACCAAATGAATCAGCAAGAGGGAAAGAAAGGGTTGGCAGAGACAAAACCAAAGAATTACAAGAATAATCAATATGCAGGATTTAATCGCTAGCTTATATTTTTCAGACAAAAAAAAACTGTTGAGATTATCACCGAGCTGGACTTCTGGCATCTCTAAAACAGGGCTCACAGCCAGCCTTGCAGGTGGGAACCCAGCGGCCTCACTAACTTCCTCCACCTTAGATACAACCAATCTCATGCCATCCATTTGGGAAAACGCCGTCACAGGGAAAGAGGGCATAGAAACATGTAGAGGGAGTCCCCAAACTACGGATATTCACTGGTAACTTGGCTTTTGAAAACTCAGAACACATCTTCCCATAAAAATCATCTTGAAAGTGGTGACTAGATTTTTAGGCCAGTCTGCAGATAGCCTATTTGCACTCGAAGAGCAAGAGAGACCAAAAAAAGACGCCATCATCTATGGTTGTCTTTGTGGCAAAATGTGTTACAGACCTCTCCTGGCTTTCAAATGACATGGTCTCATAATAACATTATGGTGTGTGGACACATACATATCACACAGATATGTATGATACTGAAACTAATTCTCTTGGGGGGGAAAATTAATTATAGAACCATATTAGGATTAATAATATTCATTTCTACTTTCTACATTTCTAGAATGACTGAATTATTATAATGAGAATGAATTACTTTTATAATTAGAACCTGAGTCAAGAAAAGGCTAGGTGCCATACACTTAACTAAGGATTGGCAAACAATGGCCCACAGGTCAAATCTGGCTCAGGGCTCATCTCTCTATGACCCATGAGCGAAGAATGGTTTCTGCATGTTGAAATGGTCGGAAAAAAGAAAAATATTTTGTGATGCATGAAAAAAATCATATGAAATTCAAGTTCTGGAATGTTTTATTGTCTGAAAAGGTTTACGGGGAACATGGGCACACCCATGTGTTTTCATTTTGTCTACGGCAGACTTTTTGCCACAGCGGGCAGAGCAGGTACAACAGAGACCAATGGCCTACAGACCCAAAGATATTTATCTACCGGTCTTTCTTTTTTTAACCACTTGATCTTTTTTACAAAGTTTATTGATTCCTACACTAAAATATCAGCTTATTTCCAGAGGCTGGCTTCATGGAGAACTTTTTATGTGCTATCTCATACATTACTATGTTAAATGTTTCACTATCAAGTAGACATTAATGTTGTAATAACAAAGATAGGAAGTCATTTTAATGCCTAGTAGGGAAATGTAGTAATTCCAGAGATGAAACCAAGCCTCTTATTGTAAGGAAGAGAAAAGTTAGCCTCGGGGTACCTGAGTAGCGCAGTTGGTTAGACGCCCAACTCTTGGTTTTGGCTCAGGTGGGAATCTCAGAGTTGTGAGATCGAGCCCCATGTCAGGCTCTGTGCTCAGAGTGGAGTCTGCTTAAGTTTCCCCCTCCCTCTCTTTGCCCCTCCACCCATCCCACTCTCCCTCTCAAATAAATAAATCTTAAAAAAAAAAAAAAGCCTCAAGATAATATGATTGTATCTAAGATCACACAACTTCTGAGTTCAATTCCACGGATTTTAGGGAAAAGGGTGCCCTCTGCATTCTAAGCCTGGGGTGCTGATGTGCACAGGGCTACCGCTGAGGCTGGGAAAGTCAGTTTCCACACAAGCGTGGAGCTACCTGTTACTGCCTTTGCTCGTGGCTCAATGGTGGGTACTTAAGGGTTACCCCTCACTCCTGGGAAGCTGCCTTCAGCCCGTTCAGATGTCCATACTAGACCGTAAACCAAGTCTACTAACACAGTGGCTGAGAAGCTGTGTTCGTTTCTATGTGAGAACACTAAAGCCTAAGGGACACACATGTCTAGGACCATTTAATCGTCCTCTCTGAGGGCATTCAGTCACATCATACATCATTTATGGCAATGTGCTTGCGAGCCAAGTTTGGTTAACAGGCATGGTATTTCTTGGTACAAATGCACAGCTAGAAATAAATGTTTTCCTTAGGTCATACGGCCAGAAAATTCACCAAGCCATCACATTATACCAATATTTATTTTCATCCATGAATTTCAAGGAAGGACAAACACTAATACCCAATTTTGAAAAAACAAAACAAACCAGGCAACAGAGAGGGACTGTTAATGACCTCTTAGTAAGCTACTGCTCTTACTCAGTGAGACCAACAGCAACATAAAGTAGACGCAAAGCGGTCCCAACAGATTACTTACCATTTCAGAATAGGCTTTGTGACAGACAGAAGCTTGGTAGGAATCACCAATGTGCATCTTTTTCAGGAGCTGACCAGTTTTTAAATTCCTTAGACATCAAAAATAAATAAGCTGATAACATTCTTCCAGCATATTGGTTTTCACATAATATTCTCATATATATAAAACAGCATCCTTTAGGAGGTGACCAAGGGAGAAACTAAGCGACATGGTACCTTAGTTTTGTTTAGTTACAGATTCAGCTAAAAATAAGAACTATTAGTTAACATTGCAAGTAGTTTAACTTGATAGTTCAGCCTTAGATGGAATCTGCTATGTCACTAGGAATAAATCTCTCCAAACTCATGAGAAAAGTTTTCCCTTTTCTCATTTGAAATCAGGTACACAGTATGGCTCTAGCATTATGATTTTGTCCCACTTCTTATCATAGCTAAATTTTCTATGGAAGACAATGGTCAGGAAACCAAATTTAATTAGATGGGAGATTATACCTCAAAAGATTTATAATTCTGTCTCTAGAGCTAGACCAAGGTAATAAAGACAGATAGGAAGATGAAGGGGATAAAAAATGAGAGAAGAGGGTGAATTTAAAGGAGAAAAAGTCTGTTGGAACCACTCCTTAGCATTACTGAGCATTTGTGATGTTGGTCATTGCTCTGTCCTGGGATGCCACTGCTGAAAAACCCTTGGCTGTCTTCTCATTAGCCACAAGAGTCCATGTTCTTTTTTGTGGTGTTTATAATCCTCACGAATCCAGTGCCGCCATACTCTATGACTCACTGCTCCTCACTATGCATATTCTTGGCTCTGCACCTTTGCTCAAGCTAGCCTCCCAACACCCTCCCAATTCCCAACCCTCTTACCCCCCAATGCCCCTCCATTCCTTTCTGGCCTCAATTGGTCCTGCCTCCTCCCAGCGGCAGAAGCTCAACCTAGACTCTCTCACTTCTCCCAGTCTGAGCCAACCCACAGAAATCTCCTCTCCTCCACCTCCCTACAGTACTGTCCATATGCTTCATTTTTAATTTAATATACACTGTAATACAGCGTAATGTATTCATTCAACAAATATGTCAGAACGTTCTGTGGAGCATGTTGTGTGTGTAAAAACTAAAGGAGGAAAACTCAGTGCTTGCGTGCCTATGCAAGACTTTCCTCGCCAGGGACAACAATGAGTTTATCCCCTACAGAGGTTAGCACATGCTCTATGTTTAGTAACTGCTCTTTCCCCAAGTCCCAAAGCACTGTCCGAATTTCTCTAACTTTGACCTTGTCTGAATTGTAAGGGGACTGTACTGGATTCGTACACTTGGAACTATAAAGCAATCTTATTTACTTATTAGACTGTAGAGGCCTTGGAATGAGGATTCATGTCTACATCCTTCACAGAAAGCAGTACGTAAGTAGAGACTCAAGTGTCTATTAAATGATTGAGAGATGAGTGCTCGGCTAATATAGCTTGACCAAGATTAAATGTCCAGAGCTTCAGCAAGAGGGTCTAAAAGTGCCAGGTGAACCTTGAGTATAACATGAATTGCTTTAGATGTTTAACCCACGAGCAGTTAAACAGGAAAGGTGACCACCTACTATGTGTAAATATAAAAGTATATAGAACCCAAATGGCAAATGACAGTTTGTTGGTTTTTTTTTAAGATTTTTATTTATTTATTTGACAGACAGAGATCACAAGGAGGCAGAGAGGCAGGCAGGGGTAGGGGGAAGCAGGCTCCCCACTGAGCGGAGAACCCCATGCGGGGCTCCATCCCAGGACCCTGGGATCATGACCTGAGCTGAGGGCAGAGGCTTTAACCCACTAAGCCACCCAGGTGCCCCAAAATGACAGCTTTTGATAGACCATACGATCTATACATCTTTAAGTACCCTAAACAAGGAGCTAAGGCACTGAGAATAGAAGATATGTACCTATCTTCAAGAACTTCCATGATACAAATTAGCCTATAAGGGCAGTACTTAAAAACTTAAGAAAAAAAAAAAATAAGGGCAGTATGAATTCAGAGAGGGAAAGGTCAATGAAGGCTGAGGTACTACTAGTACTACTAGTTGCTCAAGGCAACTGTGGGGCTGAAGATACCGCTTAAACTCACACTTAAGCTTAGACTAAGTAGAGAGGTCCCCCCACAACCTCAAATTTTGTTGTGATCCATTATATATAAAATGCCATGGGGCACCTGGGTGGCTCAGTGGGTTAAGCCTCTGCCTTCAGCTCAGGTCATGATCTCAAGGTCCTGAGATCAAGTCCCACATTGGGTTCTCCGCTCAGCGGGGAGCCTGCTTCCCCCTCTCTCTACCTGCCTCTCTGCCTACTTGTGATCTCTCTATCAAATAAATAAAAAATCTTAAGAAAAAAAATGCCAAAAGGTTACTATTAGAAAAAAGGGAGAAGTGAAGGATGGGAAGAAAACTGGGAGCTAAGGAGTATGGACTGGCTGGAGAAAATCTTTCCCCAAAGCACTGAGGAAAAGGAAGTGAAGAAAGCAAACAAGTATGGGCCTTCCTGAAGGTTTTATTTCTCAGGGAGAGCAGGGAGGGTTGGGAAAAAGAATGTTAATACAGTAGTAGTATAATAGAAGATCTGGAGATGGGATATTCATTGACGGCAAGGGAACCAATTACTGGATTATATTAATAGTCCAGGAACCAAATAATGAAGGTCCAGACTATTAAAATAATGCAAAGAATAGAAAAGACAACTTTTGTAAAGCACATTGTCCTCAAATAAGACCTCCATGCACAAACACCAAGCAAAGTGCCAGAAGTGGAAATCTGTTGCTCTAGACAGTAGGCCGTCTGAAAACAGGATCTCCTGGCAGATTAGAACACGGTCAGTTTCAGAGGCTCCCTGGTGGGGAGGGGACAAAGATTCTCTCAAGGACCATGCTTTCCTGGTTTATTACTAGAGGGTTAGGGTTGGACAAGGCAGAAGAGGTAAGGTAGCAAGGATATTAATATCACAACTTCCTCTTACCAAGACCCATCCTGCCCTAAGGAATCAATTAAAGGAGAAGGCTTCTGAGAGAAAAAAAAAAAAATCCAACTTATCATCTTAATACAAATTAACTTTGAAAATGCCTTTGACTGGGTGTGGTTCTCCCTGGATCAGGAAAGAGAAGTGGCTGGGGACTACTTGACTCTGGTCTTTCTATCACAAATTCATAATTTGGTTCCTCTAAACACATATATTTTATAATTTTGGATTGTATTGTAGACATTATTAAGAACATGTCAGAAGGGCGCCTAGTTGGCTCAGTCGGTTAAAACCTCTGCCTTCCGCTCAGGTCATGATCCCAGGGTCCTGGGATTAAGCCCCACACCGGGCTCTTGGCTGAGCAGGGAGCCTGCTTCCCCCTCTCTCTCTGCCTGCCTCTCTGCCTACTTGTGATCTCTCTCTGTCAAATAAATAAATAAAATCTTTAAAAAAAAAAAGAAAGAAAGAACAGAACATGTCACATAAACTCTGGATTCTGTTAGATTCCTCTGAAGAATATTGATTGTTTTCCCCTAGTAAACAGTTAATTTGGTTCAACTAAAATTCCAAATGCTGAAAACCCAATTCAGTTCTTTTTGCCTTATCTGGGCTGCTTCAATCTGCCCTGTGTACATGCAGTTTACAGGCCAGCCAGATTACAGGGTAAATATTAGAGCCAGAATTTGAGGCTTATTCTCTGGCTCTCTTTTTGGGCATTTCTCTCCCTACTTTCTAGCTACTGTGGTCACCCTGAACTCTGTCCTTTGGTTCTTTAAGCCAGTAGGACAGAAGGTTTTCTATCAGGCTTTCAGTCTCCCAGTGCACAGACTAGGGCTTGCCTTCTAGCTAAAACCGTAGGAACAAGATACTTGCCCACTGATATTTCCTGCTGAATCCTCTCCAGTATCTTTTTTTCTTTTTCTCATTCTCCAGTGCTTTTAGATAGTTGTTTTTTATACTTTGTTCAGGGTTTATAGTTATCTGAGGTAAGAGAGCTGACCTGATAAAAGCCATTAACCAGAAGCAGGAAAAACTGTACCTTTTTTTTTTTTTAAAGGTTTTATTTATTTATTGACAGAGAGAGAAACAGCAAGAACAGGAACACAAGCAGGGGAAGTGGGAGAGGGAGAAGCAGGCTTCCCTCCGAGCAGGGAGCCTGATATGGTGTTTGATCCCAGGACCCTGGGATCATGACCTGAGCTGAAGGCAGATGCTTAACCGATGGAGACACCCAGGCACTCCCAATTGTACCTTTTTGACAAGAGTAAAGTTTCATTTATTTTAAAATAGTATACTCAGACTGATCTTCTTCATAATTTCTGAATTAATATGATGTTCTCGTTGAGACAAGTATGTATCATCTGACAGTAAAAAACAAACAAAAAAATACGATAAAAAAAAATTTTTTTTTTTAAAGTATGCTCCACACTGGGCATGGAGCCCAAAGTGGGGCTTGAACTCATGAACCTGAGATCAAGACCTGAACTGAGATCAAGAGTCAGGTGTTTAACCAACTGAGCCACCCGTGTGCCCCAAAACACAATTATATTTACAGAGTCTCTTATCTAGTCTTAACAACCCTGTGAAATTAGAGGTATATTACAGATGAGGAAATGGAGGACCTGGAGAGAAATCTTACCAAATAACAATGTTGTTCATTATAGTGGTACCAAGCAGAGCTTCCTGCATCCCTTGGACCTCAGCAAAAGTTAGTACAGTCTCTTCAGGGGACATCAAAAATCTTTTTTCTTTGCTTCTGCATTTAAAACAGTATTAAAAATCAGCACTTTGCACCAAAGCAGTTTCTAAGCAGCCCTTGTACATATTACTGAACCATGAATAATACATACTAATCTAATACCAGAAAAAAAATTAGAAAATGTGTATCCTAAACTTCCTATAATTAATTACTTTCATATCACCTACCTGGATATACTTGCAAGCATCTCAAATTCATCATATCCAAAATTAAACTTGCCATCTCTCTCTTTACACCCTGTATTTCTCTCTGCATTTCTATCTCAGCAACTTTTATCACTGTCTACCCAGGTGACAAACAAAGAAACCTGGACATTACTCTCTTTCCTTCCTCTCTACCTACTCAACCAGCAAGCCCTAATGATGTTAGTCTCCTCTTTCTCAAATCTGTCTGCTTCTCCCCATCTCCATTAATACCTGGCTAACTTAAGCAAGCAATTATTTGTCTCTTGCCTAGATTACTACAACAGTCAGGAATAAATACAACAAACAAGGTCCATGCCCTCTGTTATTACAAGAGACAGATAAATAACCACAAAAAAATGCAACAAGCATATAAGAGACACAATGGATGCTCTGAGTTCCATTTTCAACATGTCGAATCCGAAATACCCACAAGATATCTATTAGACCAGCAGGTCCAGAGGCTGAGAAAGAGGTCAGAGCTAGAAATACACGTTTGCAAGTAGTCAGCATCTAGACAGGAACTGAAGCAATGGAAACCAAGTACGGAACAAAAAAAGAGTCTAGGATCCTAAGATGTTTGTGATTTTTAAGGGGTAAACAGAGATTTCAAAGACAACGAAGAAAGAATAAACTTCATTTGCTGAGTCTCTCCTCTCCACGGGCTTCCCTCCTGCTACACTGAGCTCCCCCCTCCCTAAACTGCCTCCACGATACAGCCTAGTGTTGAGGCAGAACCTGCTATATAATACCTACAGCCCAGAAAAAAAACAGGCTAGTGATCTTTCTCTGAAAGCCTGTGATAAAAGCATTCTTTTAATCATGAAAACCAACCATCTTACCCTCCATCTTCTGCAAATGTCATGATTTCTACTTGTTGGTCACAAAGGGTCCCACTGCTACTGACTAGCCTCCTCTCTGTCAGGCCAAGCACAGCTTTTATATTTCCAGAACTCAGTAGTACTTGCTTTTCACGTTTACCATCAGAGGAACAAATTAATGCCCTAAAACCAAGTATAAGGGAAAATGTGGAGAAGTCAGAAGTTAGCCTTCAATATGAAAGGACTAAGGTCCTATCTATCTATCTATCTATTTATTTTTTAGAAAGGGGGAAAAGGCAAAGGGAGAGGGAGAATATTAAGCAGCCTCCATGCCCAGGCAGAGCCCTATGTGGGGTTTGATCTCATGACTCTGAGAGCATGACCTGAGCTGAAATCAAGAGTCAGAATTTAACCAACTAAGCCACCCAGGTGCCCCGAAGTTCCAATTTTAAATGGAAGCTTCAGTCAGAGATATCATTCCATTGATAGGGTTTTTTTTGTTTTTTGTTTTTTGTTTTAAGGATTTTGTTTATTTATTCTGAGTGAGAGGGAGAGCGTGAACACGAATGGGGGAGGGACAGACAGAGAAGGAGAAGCAGACTCTCCACTGCGAGGGGAACCTGATGCAGGACTTGATCCCAGGCCCCTGAGATCATGACCTGAGCCGAAGGCAGCTGCTTAACCAACTGAACCATCCAGGGATCCCCATTGATAGGGTTTTTTTAAAACAAATCTCTCTTGGATCTAAATTTAGATTTTTTTTTAAATGGTTTTATTTTTAAGTAATCTCTATGCTCAACATGGGGCTTGAACCCACAACCCTGAGATCAAAAGTCGCATGCTCTACCAACTGAGCCATCCACCTGTCCCTAAATTTAGATTCTAAGATTCAAGCCTAGGTTATAACTTGCATTTAAAACAAGCTGACAGAGACAAAGATAAAGAGAAAAGAAAAAACTACTCCTTGAGAATTATATACCTGATTTCTCTGATTTCCAAATTTCCCAAAGCCACACACACGAGATTACAAACATCAGGCACTGGAACTATCTGTAATACTGGAACCTAAAATAAAATAAAAAAGCCAAAAATTATACTTGGTTGTTTCACTTTTAATTAATCTACATTTTCCAAAATCTGTCACATTCTCTTCTATTCTCATTGCACCAGGACAGTTTCAAATAATGAACAAAGGTGAGAAAGTTTAGCAAACACCCTTTCTCTAAGCTGTAAATCAAAATAAGCTTATACAAAGCCATGTGTGTGGTAGCGTTTATTTAATACACTCTACACTTCTAACAATAAAGGAATAATTAAATAAAGTCTGCCATGTGGACAAATGGAATGTTGTGTAGCCATTTAAAGTAAGTTTATCCCAGGGCGCCTGGATAGCTCAGTTGGTGAAGCGTCTGTCTTTGGCTCAGGTCATGATCTCAGGTTCTTGGGATTAAGAACCCTGTAGAACTCTCTGCTCAGCAGGGAGCCTGCTTCTCTCTCTCTCTGCCCCTCTCTCGCTACTCGTGTTCTCTGTCTCAAAAGAAAAATCTTAAAATAAGTTTATTTTAAAAAATAATAAAGTAAGTTAATTCACATAAATAAATATTTATTAAGCATTATTATGCAAAGGAAGTATGGTGCCAGAGGCTGTGGCTATGCTGGAGAACAAGGAAATTTGCTAAGAGTAGATCATAAGCATTCACACCAAAAAACAAAACAAAACAAGCAAAACCCCAAAAAACTATGTGAGTGGATATATGTTTTTTTGATTTTTTTTGTTGTTTAGTTTTCTTTATTAGAGAGTGCACGGGATGGGGAGGGGCAGAGGGAGAGAGAGAATCCAAGCAGGCTGTGCTGAGCGCCGACCCTGAGATCACAGTCTGAGCCAAAACCAAGAGTCGGGGACTTAACCGACTGTGCCACCCAGGCACCTCAAGCTGATACATGTTAATTAACTTGATTGTGGGAGTTCTTTCACAGTGAATAAAATACTGAATCATCACATTATACACCTTAAGTACATTACAATTTTGTCAATCATACTTCCATAAAGTTGAAAAAAAATTTTAAATAAAGTATGAAGACTATGTAGAAACAAGGAAAAATGTTCATATCTTAAGTGAGAAAAGGCCAATTTAAAAATTTTAAGCACACCAGGATTGCAAGCATGTATGTTATGTTTGAAGGTGGACAAGGACTAGAAGAAAATATAGAAAGAAAAGAAGCAGGGGGTGCTTGGGTGGCTCAGTGGGTTAAGCCTCTGCCTTCGGCTCAGGTCATGATCTCAGGGTCCTGGGATCCAGCCTTGCATCGGGCTCTCAGTTTGGCAGGGAGCCTGCTTCCCCCTCTCTCTGCCTCCTCTCTGCCTACTTGTGTTCTCTGTCAGATAAATAAATAAAATCTTTAAAATAAAAGAGAAAAGAAAAGAAAAGAAGCAGGAACAATGCTTTGGTGAGGGGTAAGGAACACGGGTCTCAGCAAGTTTAGAAGTTAGAAAAGACACAAAATTCCAAGCTACTCAAATACGTCCAACATAAAAATCCATTTCTCAAAAAACATGATAAAAATAAACAAAGCACAAAGTTCACTCTATTTTAGATGGGGGGTATATGGGGACTTACTGTACAACTTTTCTCTATGATTGAAAATTTTCATAATGAAATGGTGGGAAAAAGGACCCGTCTCAGTTCTGTCTTGCATGGTCGTGGGTCCCATTCTCGGTAGCTGCCCATCTACATTACCATGTAAATGCTTATAAAGACCGCACTCAGCTCCAAGATTCTGACTTACCTCTGTGAATTGCCAGGAATAAAGTTTTTCCCACTGCCAAGTATCAAGTGGTTTCCAGAGAGAAACCACGTATTCACAGGCAGTTATGATACACGGCTCCTTGAAACCTGCTATTTCCCACCATGTGGCACTCACATCCACCGAGCAGGAACTGGAAGGATTCTGAAATAAACAGCAACCACAGTTACGTTAAGGCCATACTTGGGGTCTGTTTCATGAAAAGAGTAAGTATGAAAAGTGTTGGGTTATAAGGATTAAATACCAAGTAAAATGTAATTAAAGTTTTCTATAGACCAAAAGAAACAGCGGGGCACCTGGCTGGCTTAGTCAGCGGAGCCTGTGACTCTTGATCTTGGGACTGGTAAGTTAAAGCCCCACGATGGGTGAAGGAATTACTCAAAAACAAAATCTGGGGCGCCTGGGTGGCTCAGTGGGTTAAGCCTCTACCTTCAGCTCAGGTCATGATCTCAGAGTCCTGGGATCGAGCCCCGCATCGGGCTCTTGCTTCCCCCTCTCTGTCTGCCTCTCTGCCTCCTTGTGATCTCTCTCTCTGTCAAATAAATAAAATCTTTTTTTTTTTAAAAGATTTTATTTATTGATTTGACAGACAGAGAGATCACAAGGAGGCAGAGAGGCAGACAGAGAGAGAGGAGGAAGCAGGCTCCCTGCTGAGCAGAGAGCCCGATGCAGGGCTCGATCGAAGGACCCTGAGATCATGACCCGAGGCGAAGGCAGAGGCTTTAACCCACTGAGCCACCCAGGCGTCCCCAAATAAATAAAATCTTAAAACAAAATCTTAAAAAAAAATTTATGTACTAAAAAATTTGCCCCCCCGCACACTTCTATCATGATAAATCTAAAAATGTATAGCATGTAGCTCCAGAATGGAACAGATTCAAATCTAATCACAAAACATAGCCCCTAAGATCTTGCCCATTTGGAAATGAAACATCCTGATGAAACACCCACGGGTTGAAGAGGGAATAAAACTGAAACAACATACTGTACAGCTGACCCTGGAACAATGTAGGGGTTAGGTGCACCAACTTCCCACACAGTCAAAAATGTGCATGTGAACTTTGACTTCTCCAAAACTTAATTACTAATAGCTTACTACTGACAGGAAGCCTTACTGATAACATAAACAGTCAATGAATACATGTTTGGTATGTTATATGTATTATATATTATATGTAATAAAGTATAGAGAAAAAAATGTTATGAAAAAATCATAAAGGAAAAAATACACATATATAATTCTGTACTGTTTACTGCAAAAGAAAATGTCTGCATGTAATTGTGCCTCTGCAGTTCAAACCCATGTTGTTCAAGAGTCAACTGTGTTTCCAAATGAGCAAAGAGAGCACCGTGCACCCAAACACACAGAGCATGGCTGAAGTAGCATTTCCAAATGAAATTTATAATCATAAAGGCATTGATCAAAAAAACCAAGAAAAATAAAAATAGAGTAAGAAAACAGCTCAAGACGTTAGCAAAAGAACGGGAAAGTAAGCACAATGAAAAACAGAAGCAACTATTAAGGGTAACAGAAATAAATAGGAAACCGAGAAAACCTAATTAACACTCAATACAAGCAAAAGCTAGTTTTTTGGGGGAGACCCAAAGAATGGAAAATCTCTTAAGTTTGATGCAGGCAAAAAAAATACTTGAGAAAATAGGGATTAGGGAGAGAGAAGTATAACTAAAGACACACAGACAAAACCCCCCTCCCCAAAAAAAAACCAAGCCCAAACCCTATTAGAATAATAAATAACTTTTGTACCTATAAATTAGAAAATGCAAATGAAATTTACCTATAAATTAGAAAAAAATTATTCTTTAAAAAATGAAGTTACTAAAACCAATGCAAGAATAGCTTTGAGGGACGCCTGGGTGGCTCAAGGGGTTAAGCCTCTGCCTTCGGCTCAGGTCATGATCTCAGGGTCCTGGGATTGAGCCCCACATCGGGCTCTCTGCTCAGCAGGGAGCCTGCTTCCACCTCTCTCTCTCTCTGCCTTCCTCTCTGCCTACTTCTGATCTCTGTCTGTCAAATAAATAAATAAAATCTTTGAAAAAAAAATGAGAAGCTATAGATCAAATTCTTCCCAATTTTCCTAGCAATTCATTAACTTTTTTTCACATGTAAGACACAAGACATTATAAGGGAACAGTCTTCTGACCTTTAACTTTGAAACCAATTGAAGGTGGCCTGGGTTTAAGCTATTACGAGCAGGAAGGTCTGCTACTTCAGTCTGTGGAAATAAAAGTCACACCATTAATCTAAGCTTTATACATGTCTGCCCGCATTGCTCATTCTTCATCAATGTCTACCTAGTATGTGTTATTTTCTCTGATAAAAGCAGCCAACCTCCATATGTAACTGCTTCCTTAATGACAAAGGGAACGGATCCCCCATATTTAAAAAATACATTCTTAACTTTGACTTTGTCCAACTGAACTTAATGGTTACAGTGAAGTCTATCAGAGACATGTTATAGTACTCTTAAACACTGAGAAGCCAGCGTGTAAGAGAGTCATATGCTGGGCAGGCGCCTGGGTAGCTCAGTGGGTTAAAGCCTCTGCCTTCGGCTCAGGTCATGATCCCAGGGTCCTGGGATCGAGTCCCGCATCGGGCTCTCTGCTCAGCAGGAGTCTGCTTCTCCATCTCTCTCTGCCTGCCTCTCTGCCTACTTGTGATCTCTGTCTGTCAAATAAATAAATAAAAATCTTTAAAAAAAAAAAAAAAGGGAAGTCATATGCTGTCCAAATTCACTAAGATATTTCATTTCTCTGTAGAAAATCTCACCAGGGAAGCGGACTATACCTGTTTCCATGACTCTGGGTGTGTATTTCCACACAGCTGATTGTCTTTGAGAGTGACTGACCCGGTGGGAAAAGGGGTTGCCTGGGGACCAGAATCACAGTCACAGGAAGGCTGTCCTCTACCTGACACAACCAGGCTGCCATCTGATTTTGATGGGCTGGCCCAACCGTCGCATTGTTTCCGATCACTGTCTTCTAAGTGAGGAAGCTGGGGTTTAGAGCAAGTTGGCCCAACCTCTGAACACACTTTTTCACAGTGTGCTTGGGAGCCAAAAGCTGGAGTAGTGCCTAAGATGGGGAAAGTGGGCGAGCACATCTCTGCTGTGGGCCTGTTATTATCCTCAGGGGCACCAGTATTTAAAGGCGTGTAAAGTAATATAGATGAAGAAAGGCCCTTCTTCTGAGACGGACTTGTTAGGTCTGACGTTTTAGCTTGTGCTTTTCCCGGGAGAACAATAATTTCCTCTTCCAAGTCCTCCATTTCAATATTGATTTGTTTAGGACTCAGTTCTTCTAAAACACTACAGTTTCCCTCCTTAAGGTGTTTCTGTCCATATATGTTTGATACAAAAGGCTCAACTTTTTCTGTTTTTTCTGAACAGGACTTCAGTTTTTCAAGTTTAAGAGGTCCAAAGATTTCATCGGGTAACTGAAAGTCTGTAGTTTTGAGAAAAGATGACAGTTGCTTTAAACTCAGCATTTCATTCTCCTGAAACGAAGCCGTGAACGCAGCAGAATCCAAAGCTAGATAAGCATTATTTCTGGAAGAAAGGGAGTCCTCTTTTGGACAATGATTGTCCTTCCCTAAAATAGAAAGGAACAACAATAACAACAAATACCAATACCCAACAGAGTGTGAGCTTCTAAACACCATGGCAGCTCAAAATGTTCATTACTCTTCCCATCCCATCTTTACTAATGACTGCATTAGTGAAGGAAGACCAGTGTCCAGTCCCAGCTCTGCCACTGACCCACTGTTACTTTGGGCAAGTCAGTTCACTTCATTTTCTCTGGTGTCTCCTAAGGGAACTGGACTAAGAAACTCTAAAGTCCCTTCTACTCTTAAAAAACTTTGATTCCAACTATAAAACATGATTCCAATAGGCTCCCAGAGTACAGTCTACAAAATGCTGGCTCATCTCACTGAAGTAGTAAATTTCAAGCAGGGTAATTTACTACTCTTAAAGCAGCCGGCATTCTATACCATTCAAAATGTAGAGCAAGTTCGCCTGACCACCTCTGCAGACACTCTGTCATAGCGTGCCTGGGAGCCAGAAGCTGGAGTTGTGTCCAAGATGGGGAAAGCTGCATCCATCAACTAAGAAATGGATAAGTGGTGCCACATAGATACAGTGGGTATTATTCAGCCATAAAAAAAGAATGAGGTAAGGGTACATGCTGCAGCATGGATGAATCTCGAAAACCAGCTAAGGGAAAGCAGCCAGACACATAGTTTATCTGTCACATAGTCTATTAATTCCTTTCATATGAAATACCCAAAAATGTAAACCCATAAGATAGAATACATATTGGTGGTGGCCAGGGGCTTGGGGCAGGGAGAGGAAAAGGGGAGGAAGTGCTTAAGGGGCACGGGGTTTCCTTCTGGAGTGATGAACATGCTTTGGAACTAGGTAAGAGTCCTGGTAGCACAACCCTGTGAAAACACTAAATGCCAGTGAATTATTAACTTCATTCAAAATGGTTAATTTTATGTAATGTGAAGGCCACCTCAAGAAAAAAAAATGTTTAATATAGCAGCAGGTTACTAAAACCACTGCAGATTATTTCAAAGTACATAAAAAAATGTTTCTAGTTTATTATTAGAATGTCCTACTTTCTGATTACTTTATATTCTTGTTGGCTTAAAGATTACAATAAAAAAGTCATAATGATTATGGTCTTTTAATTAATTAAAAATTAATTATTGTCCAAATGCTATAGAGCAGTCAGCTGCCTGTTTTTGTAAATAAAGTTTTATTGGAACACATTCATATTTGTCTGTGGCCACCTTCCCACTACACTTTACTAGCTATGATGGAGCACAACGACAATATGTACTATTTGGCCCTTAACAGTAAGAAAGTTTTGCTGTTGTCTAATACAGAACCAGAGTGAATTATCTAGTTGTTATGCCTGCTTTATCAAATATGAGAACTCCAGAGTACATGAATAAAAGTATTAAAATTCTGTCACTTGCTATCCTCCAAAATCTCATGTCCCACAGATTGCAGAGAAGCTATATTATATGTTACCCCAAAAAGTTGCTCAGACGTATTGCATTTTACTACACAATTATATCCCCCCACCACCCTTTTTTAAGATTTTTATTTTTAGGTAATCTCTACACCCAATGTAAGGAAGGCTCAAACTCACAACTCCAAGATCAAGAGTCTTGTGCTCTCTGGGCTAAGCCAGCCAGGTGCCCCCACATGGTCATTCCTAAGATAGTTTGTTAGTGGACTCACTCTCTGACATATATTTTGAACACTTCCTCTATAGATTATAAAACTTTTCTCTATGGATAGATTGTGTTGTACCCGAATAAATACTAATTGTAGGTAAATATCTAATATATTTTCCCTTTCAATGTCAATGTTTCAACCACATTCGCAAATTCTGGTACCACAGAGCCAAGTTTGAATCCTGGCTCTGTCACTTGAATGAATTAGTCACTTTAGGATCCTTGTGCTTCAGTTTCTGTAAGTCCGTAAAGTGAGGCTAAAAATAGATTCTACCTCATGTAGGGTTGCTCTGGTGATTCAAGGAGTTAGTATCTGCACAACATTTTTAAGGTAGCAGGCAGGGGCGCCTAGGTGGCTCAGTGGGTTAGGGGATCTGCCTTCAGCTCAGGTCATGACCCGGGGTGGGATCAAGCCCCGTATCCGGCTCTCTGCTCAGCAGGGAGCCCGCTTCCCTTCCTCTCTCTCTGCCTGCCTCTCTGCCTTCCTGTGATCTCGGTCTGTCAAATAAATAAATAAAATCTTAAAAAAAAAAAAAAAAAAGTAGCAGGCACAGGGCACCTGGGTGGCTCAGTTAAGCCTCGGACTTGGTGTTGGCTCAGGTCATGGTATCCGATTGAGCCCTGCCCTGGGCTCCACACTCAGCATGGAGTCAGCTTGTCTCTCTCCCTCTGCATTGTCTCTCACATAAATTAAAAAAAAACAAAAAAACAAAAAACAACAGGAAAAAACCTATCAGGAACATAGTAAGTATTATGTATTGGTTACCATCATCAACCACACCTTAATTTACCTTTAATTCTCTTTTTACCATGATGAATTGCTTTTTCATCCAGATCTTCGTGTAAGGTGACTTCTTCCTTGGATCTATGAACACCTGCTGTGCCAGGAGTTGGCAAAAGTAGTTGATGATGATCTAATACAGGTGGAGAAACTGTCTTTCTTTTTCCTCCGTGTCTTCTACCAGATGGCTGGGTAACTGCCTTCCTGGGAAGGTTAGCTTCAGTAGGCCCAGTGGGAGAGTTGACCTCCGTTAACAAGAGACATTTCTCAGGTTTTCTTGAACTTAGTTGTCTTGTGTGTGTGTCAGATGTCCTAATTTCACTCTGGTCAGTTTCTTCACTGCAAAGGTTTAAATTTATAGTTTCCTCCTTACTTTTATTTTTAAAACCTTTCTTTCTGACACCCAAATGCCTCTGAATGACAGCCTGCAGGGCTACTTTCCTCTGGCAGTTTGACATGCGTCGTGTCGTTCTAACGTAATACTCTGCGGGAAACAGAAGGCCTTCGACCATTGTACAAGAATGTGTTTGACCTTCTGCAGAAGCAGGGGAGATTACTTCTGGGCTAAGACTCGTAGATTGACTTAAAACCTCACTTTCCTGAAGACTTTCATTTCTACATTCAAGAGTGTTATGGGGAGATGGTAAAGACTCCTCTGTGTGATTCTGTCCTTTTAAGTTTTGGTTTTCATTTGCTGGTAAGTTACCATAAATGAGTTCATTTACAGAGTATGAATTATCTGCCTCTAAGTCAGGACTTCTAGGCAGCTGGCCACTTGCACTTACAGCTTTGTTTACCTCTGAGTTATCTGTAGAGACCGTCATGCTTCTGCCTTGTGCCTCTAGGTTTACAGGTGAAGCAGGGTTAATGTTTTTTATATTGTGAGGAGTGAGTTCACAGTCACCTTTAGGAGGCTTATGTTCAAGGTGCTGACCACTACTGCTATTTGACAGAGTAAATGAAGCAACCGTAGGAACCCTGGAGAAATTATTTCCTCCTATTAGAGCACTGACACCTCTTTGTGGTTTGGCAGTTGGTGGAATTAATATACCCCTTACGTTAGTTTCTGTCACTGGTTCTGGAGAACCAGGAATGTCAGACGTAGAACCTGAACGACAAGTTCTTTCATTTACAGGTGTCCTAGGATTTTCTCTATTGATTTCCTCCTGTTTCTTTAGTCTTTTCTCAGAGAGTAGGAATGAATCCGCGTCAAAGAAAGATTCTCCTGCCTCTGCAGTATATGTTCTCTTCTGCTGCTTTTTTCTTCTCCCTGGAAGCTTACTCTGCCTTTTCTCAGCACCAGAGCCACTGACCTGGTAGGGAAAATGTTCCTGGATATCACCTGTTCTTTGTATATGTAGTTCCTCCACAGGGCCATGTCCAGGGTTGAAGGACTCAGGTTCAACGTCAAGTGTGATAGGTGTCTTTTCTCCAGTTTCTTCATCCATATGGGTGTTGATTTGTAATGTGTCATAAGGAGATCTTTTATTTTTATGTTCTGAGAAAAAAATTTCTAAAATTAATAATTTCCTTTTAAATGAAGCCAAAAAATTCCATTATTTATTTTAAAATATTATATAAAAATACTACATTTTACGAGGCGCCTGGGTGGCTCAGCTGGTTAAGCCACTGCCTTTGGCACAGGTCATGATCCAGGATCAAGTCCCGGATCTGGCTCCCAGCTCCATGGGGAGTGTGCTTCTCTCTCTGACCTTCTCCCCTCTCATGCTCTCTCTCTCTCTCTCAAATAAACAAATAAAATCTTTAAAAAAGGTGCACCTGGGTGGCTCAGTGGGTTAAAGCCTCTGCCTTCGGCTCAGGTCATGATCCCAGGGTCCTGGGATCGAGCCCCACATTGGGCTCTCTGCTCCACAGGGAGCCTGCTTCCTCCTCTCTGCCTGCCTCTCTGCCTGCTTGTGATCTCTGTCTGTCAAATAAATAAATAAAATCTTAAAAAAAAAAAATCTTAAAAAAAAAAAAGTACTGCAGGGGTGCCTGGGTGGCTCTGTGGGTTAAGCCTCTGCCTTCGGCTCAGGTCATGTTCACAGGGTCCTGGGATCGAGCCCCACATCGGGCTCTTTGCTCAGTGGGGAGCCTGCTTCCCCCTCTCTCTCTGCCTACTTGTGATCCCTCTCTCTCTGTCAAATAAATAAATAAAATCTTAAAAAAAAAAAGTACTACGTTATTTAAGAAAGAGTCAATGGTATTTCATTCAGGCAGCTCAAAGTTCAAATTTTAATATTCTAATACACTAATAATTTTAAGGAAATGTAAACAAACAATTGTGCCGGAAAATATGATTTTAAACTAAAAGATAATCTATATTGCAGTCATCTTTCTTTAGTTGTTTTTTTTTTTTGCAGAGATATTTTAAACACAAAAGGGAAGATTTGTTTTTTTAATTCTTTAGTTTTTTTCTCCAGTTTTACTGAGGTACAATTGACAAATAAAACTGTATGTATTTAAGGTACACACTGAGATGTTTTCATATAGGTATATGTTGTGAAACATTACCACAATCAAGCTAATTAAAATATCCATCATTGGGACGCCTGGGTGGCTTAGTTGGTTAGGCCGCTGCCTTCGGCTCAGGTCATGATCCCAGCGTCCTGGGATCGAGTCCCACATCGGGCTCCTTGTTCTGTGGGGAGCCAGCTTCTCCCTCTGCCTCTGCCTGCCACTCTGTCTGCCTGTGCTCGCTCGCTCTCTCTCTCTCTCTCTCTGACAAATAAATAAATAAAAAATCTTTAAAAAAAAAATAAAATATCCATCATTTCTGGGTGGCTCAGTCAATTAAGCATCTGACACTTGATTTCAGCTCAGGTCATGATCTCGGGGTGTGGGATCAAGCCCTCTGTCAGGCTCAGTGCTCAGTGGGAGTTGGACTGGGATTTTCTCTCTCTGCCCCTCCTCCCCACATTCTCTCTCTCTCTGTCTCTCAAATAAATATATCTTAAAACAAATATTTCCAGGGATGCCTGGGTGGCTTAGTCAGTTGAGCATCTGCCTTGGGCTGAGGTAATGATCCCAGTGTGCTGGGACTGAGTCCCATATTGGGCTCCTTGCTTGGCAGGGAGCCTATTTCTCCCTCTGTCTGCCATTTTCTCTCTCTCTCTCTCTGACAAATAAATAAAATCTTAAAAAAATATATATCCATCATTTCACATAGTTATGATTGTGTGTGTGTGTGTGGTAGGAACACTTAAGATCAATTCTTCTAGCAAATTTCAAGTATATGATACAGTAATATTAACTGTTGGTTCCATGCTGTATATCAAAGCTTATTCATTCTGCATAAGTGAAACTCTACAACCTTTGAACAACACCTTCCCATTTCCCCCACCATCTCACCTAATTTTTTATATCATGTCTTTTTTTCCTGCTCAAGTAACTTTAATACCACCTTTCTATTTCAATAGTCTCCAATTTTATGATTATAAATACCTATTAACATGAATAATGACATTGTTGTTCTTGGTTTTTTTAAAAGATTTTATTTATTTATTTGAAAGAGAGAGAGTGAGTGGGAGAGAGCATGAGCAGGGGGAGGGGGAGAAGCAGATTCCCCTGCTGAGCAGGGAGCCCAATGTGAGGCTCAATCCCAGGACTCCGGGATCACGTCCCAAGCCGAAGGCAGATGCCTAACTGATTGAGCCACCCAGGTGCCCATGACCATTGTTTTTAGAACACCTCTGGCCAGATTTTTTTCTCTGTGCATATACAAATGCTTAATTTTTTTTTTCTCTAAACGTTGAGAGGGAAAAGAGCAATCAAATGAACAATTCAACCAAAAGAATAGTTCATTGCTCGCAGAACAGGAAAAATATTTACAAAGTGTGTATCTGATAAGGACCTAATAGCTAGAATGCATTAAAAACACTTACAACTCAACAACAAAAGGCAAATAACGGATTTAAAATATTGACAAAGGACTAGGTATTTCTCTGAAGACGACATAAAAATGGCCAACAGCACATGAAAACATGCTCAACATTAGTCACTAGGAAATGCAAATCCAAACCATAATTAGAGACCACTTCACATCCACTAGGATGGTTGTAATTTTAAAAATGGAAAATGCCGAGTATAGGTGAGGATGTGCAGAGACTGGAACCCTTGCGCATCATGGTAGAAATGTAAAATGGTACTGAAATTGCAGAAAACAGTTTGGCAGATTCTCAAAAAGTTAAACAGAGAATCACCATATGACCCAGCAATTCTGCTCCTAGTGATAAACCCAAAAGAACTGAAAACATACGTCCCCACAAACACTTGCATATGAATGTTCATAGCAGCATAATGGCCAAAATTCATAATAACTAAAAAGTAGAAACAACCCAAATGTCCATCCATTGATGAATGGATATATAAATTGTGGCACATCTATCCAATGGAATGGTATTCAGCTGCACAAAGAAGTGAAGTACTAATGCATGCTTGGATGTAAGTACAGAGGGATGACTGTTGAAAACACAATGCTAAGTGAAAAAAGTCAATTACAAAAGATCACATGTTACATGGCTCCATTCATATGGATTGTCCAGAACAGGTAAAGCCACAGAGGCAGAAAGTAGATTAGGGGTTGCCAGGGGCTGTTAGTAAGATGGGTACAGGGCTTCTTTTCGGGGTGGTGAAAATGTTCTGGAATTAGATGATAATGACGTTTGCACAATCCTGTGAATATACAATGAACCACTGAATTATATATACACTTTAATACAGCAAGCATAAGTAATAAGCACTAGCTTTACCTGAGTGGTTCGGCTGTGGTGAAATTTCCTGCTGGAGCAAGCAATCATGTTCTTCCACTGTTTTCTTAACAGAATTCTTAACCTTCTCAGCTCTTTGGGCACGCTAGAGGAAACAAAAGCAGCTCAAGGAACAAATTTAAGAAAAATAAGTATTTTTTTAAAGCTTTATTATTACGAAGAATTGTTTGTATATAGTTCACCCTACAATATCTCAGTTTGAGAGAGTTAAGATTCACTCACCTGAAGGCGGGCCAGTGTCTTGCTGTATTCCCTTTTCAAGAATGCTAATTTTTCCTTCAACTGGAAGAAGAAAAACAGCAAACAATACTGAGCATGTAGAAAGGAGGAGTCAGAGAGAAGGGATACAGTGCCTATCAGACCCGAGTAAGCAGTGCTTAGCAGGTCCCTCTGCAACAGATAGAAGAGGAAGTAGCAGGTTCCACATTTCTCCCAGTTTTCACAAAGCACCAAGCTCTCTAACACCTAAGCACCTTGACCTAAACACTTCCTACCACATGGAGCATTTCCTCCCCAAATCATTTTGCTAAGTCCTACTGATTCCTCAAGCCTCAACTTCGATTTTTATTCTAGGTCCTTCCTGAAATCCAGGTGGGACATTCCACCTCTCTGCTGTGCTTCCTTTATCACAATACTTATTATATACTCTGCTGTCTGTTTACTTCTGTTTCCTTCCATCTCACTGTGAGATCCCTGAAGGTGGCAGGAGCTGTCATCCTCAGACATTCATCCAACAAATGAATCTCTTGTCAGTTAATGGTCCCGGTATCTGTAGTACCTGAAACAACAACTGATAACCACTCTCAGTTATGGTCTCGGATGCTAGAACTAGGGTCGTCAAGCTTAACAAGTGAGGGATACAGATAATTAATAAGAAAATGAATACACAGACAAGAGGATATCACATGGTACTCTATACCCAGATCAACAGGGAGATGTGAGAGTGCCTGAGCTACTTTAGGTAGCGTGGCCAGAGAGGAATTTCTGAGGACTACCATTGAAGCCCGGAACTAAAGGAGGAAGGAGTTAGCTTTGGGAAGATCAGAGGAAAAGCAATTTGTCCAAGATCACACAGTTATAAATGGCATGATCAAAACCCAGGTAGTTGGATTCTAGAATCTGTGCTCTTAATCTCTAAGCTAGTTTGCTTCCCACAGGGTCCTCTTTACCATCAATCTTATCAACGTTTAAGAACTATCTTCTTGACTTGTAAATGATCTATCTCACCCTCCAATGGAAGGCAGGCTGGGATAAGAAGACTGATAACTAATGTGAATGAAGAATCTAGCACAGTGCCTGGAACAGCCAGCACAGATACGTTCAGGCTAACAGCATCAGCAGGAGCACAAAGTGGCATGGGTAAGGATTGGTCAGAGCAGCACTGCTGTAGAAGCAAAAGCTGGAAACAACCTAAAAGTCTCTCAGCAGAGTAATGTCGAATGAAAAGATGGCACTTTCATAATACATAACACTATGAAGAACTTCAAAAAGTAAGGTAGGTTAACATTAACATGGATGAAACCCGGATAAGTAAAACGGAAGTTGCAGAACCATTCGGCTTATACCATTTGTGGACCAAAAAACACACTATTTTTGGGGGGGGGGGCTAGGGAATATGCCACATCCTTCCAAATATCCCACCTCCGCCCATACACGCGCGAAAAGGTCTGAAGCATCAGGCTGTTCAGAAATCTACTTAAGGGAATGGGTGGGAAAAGCCATGGGGGTGGGGAGGATGTCAAAAGGGACTTAGTTCTTTAAAATTTGTTCAAGGCCGTAGGTCAGAGGTCACGGCCAACCCGGACGGTCGAGGAAACAAAGACACGCCTAAAATCTTAGGCAAGGAGTCAGTTCCGAGTCAGCCCTTCCCGCACACCCAGGGCACCTTTTCCTTCTCCTCACAGCTGAGGGGCTTCCCGGGAGGCTCTTCCATCGGGCTGGAAGCCGAACGGAAGGAGCAGCCGTCGCCGGCCCCGGGCCTGCGGACACGAGGGCCCCAGCTGGCTCTGGGCCCCGCAGGCGCCGCGGAAGGAAACCGGGCACTCGGGATACCCACTGAGCGCCACCAGGTTGCCCATGCAGGAACCGCGCGCCTTCTCCCCCGGCCAATTACAGCCACCGCTCGACCTGCGCACGCGCAGCCGGAGACGGCCGAGTAATGGAGCGGGGCCAACTAGCGGAGAGCCGAGCTGCGGATCAGAGCCGAGGACGCCCAGAGCGGAAGTGGAGGAGCGGGCGGAAGTGGAGGGGCGGCCGGAAGTCGCCCGAATTCCAGTCAGACTGACCGGCTGACAGGCATTGACAGGAACGGAGCTGCGGGAAGTTGGTGGCCATGGAGTTGGGCGAGCTGCTTTACAACAAGTCCGAGTACATCGAGACGGTACGCGTGTTTAGACATCTGCCCTCCCTTTTCCGAGCCTACGTCCCTCCGAAGCTGGTGTCTCCATCCTGTCCCTACCCCACCCCGGATCCCTTTGGCGTTTAGTCCGAGATTACCTACAGTCACTTCGTGAATGGCCCGGCTTTGTTATTTATTCCTTGCATGGCAGGTTTAGGTTTTTTACTTATTCCTTATTTCCTAAAGATAAAATGCCTTCCAGAAAGCAGGACAAGTCTCATCCACCTTAATATCAAGAACTCCAGGCTTCGGGCCTTTCAGAAGGGTGTTTTTTTGTTTGTTTGTTTGTTTTTTAACTAACGTGTCGTAATTTATTACTGTATGCTGAAAGACGGTTAGGTCCTTTCTAGTCAATACATGATGTGTGTAAATTGCTCGAAGTAGGGTAAGCGCTCAGTCAGCGTTGCTATGAATTCTTGCAATTCTGGTATCGGTTAAGTCGGTATCCTGGAATTAGGGCTACAAGTATAGAACTGAAACTTGAATCCCCGTCTCTGATGTTATCAGGCTCTAGACCTACCGCGTCCAAATTCTGGATTCCCTTCTTGGAATCCCTAGTTTCCTAATCCATCCTTGCTTTGATATCCCGTACTCAGGATATCAGGGGACTTCGCCCCATTGAAAGTCCTTTCCTCTCCAGTAGCAGCTTTTTTGGATGGAAACCTATAGCCCAGAATCCACTCAGTTTGCGCAGCCCCATTTTCTGTTCTTTGCTTTCAGGCATCTGGAAACAAAGTTAGTCGCCAGTCGGTATTGTGCGGAAGTCAGAACATCGTTCTCAATGGCAAGGTAAGGGACAAAGCCAGTTCCAGGATGCATGCCTTTGCTTTCTTTCCACTAGTTATCACATTAGGAGGGCAGAGAATATGTTGCCACGTCTCCCACTTATTGCTGTACATTTAAAATTTCTCTTCTTTTCATTCCCCAAATTGTATTGAATACAAAAAAGACTCAATGAAAGGAGGCAACAGAAAACCTTTTCCCCTTTATGCATGGCACCCAGAACTGAAATTATTATGAAGTGTTGTAGTGTGTCCTAAACTACCAGACACAAACATAAATAGGCACCGAAACACTTAAGTGTAGAAGCTATAAAGTATAATAATATAATTGTTTAGTAATAATGATTCAACATTAACTGAAACTCTTTTTTTTAAATATTTTATGTATTTATTTGACAGAGAGAGAGAGAGATCACAAGTAGGCAGAGAGGCAGGCAGAGAGAAGGAGGGAAGCAGGCTCCCTGCTGAGCAGAAAGCCCCTTGCGGGACTCCATTCCAGGACCCCGAGATCATGACCTGAGATGAAGGCAGAGGCTTAATCCACTCAGCCACCCAGGCACCCTGAAACTCTTAAAATTAATTTGAGAATGGGTGGGGCACCCAGGTGTCTCAGTCGGTTGAGTGTCTGCCTTCAGCTCAAGCCGTGATCTCGGGTCCTGGGATCAAGCCCCGAGTTGCACTCCCTGTTCAGCCGGGAGTCTGCTTCTCTCCCTCTCCTCTGCCTCTCTCCCTGCTTGTGCACTTTCTTTCTGTGTCAAACAAATAAAATTTAAAGAGAGAGAATTGGGAAAGACACTAAACTATGAAACAGCTTTGCAAAATGGAATATGATAGGCTGAGAATTTGTAGTCTGAATAAATTGAAATAGCAGAGAGATGAGTATAAACATGGGAATAATATTAGGACATATCAGAACCAGAGAAAATATCAAGATATATTTGAACGTGACAAACACTGAAGTCCACTATTTTTCCTGCCATTTGTCTTTGAAATATTATATCTCTAAATTAAAAGGGAAGACAGTCTCACTATAATCAAGCAATCATAAATTTTTTTAGTAGAGACAGTTACTGTCTCCATTAGCTCATCATAACATGAGACTTAATAGAAGCATAGTTCAATAATTAAGTGTAACTAGTAATTACAGACACACTGTTCCTGCACAGAATTAGAAAATTCCATTAATCCCAATCTGATTAGCAAATTAGCAAATTGTGGAGTTTTTAAAAAATCCTTAGGTAATTTCAAAACATTTTCTGTGATTTTTAGAAAACATTTGTTTATTAAATTGTGATAAAATACATGTGACAAAATTTGCCACTTTAAGTGTACAATCCATTGGTGTTAATTATATTTAAAATTGGGGTGCTTGAGTGGCTCATTTGGTTGAGCATACTACTCTTGATCTCAGCTCAGGTCTAGATCTCAGGGTCATGAGTTCAAGTTCTGCATTGGGCTCCACGCTGGGTGTGGAGCCTACTTAAAACTATATATTCTATTTACAACCATTGTGCAATGATCCCCACTATGTATTTCTAAAACTGTCATCACCCGGACAGAAACTCTGTACTCATTTAGGAATTACTCCCTCTTTCCTCCCCATCTTCCCCACTCCTGCCCCCCACACGGGGCCTAGTCACTAATAACCTCAGTCCACTTCCTGTCTCTGTGAACTTGCCTAATCTAGATCTATAATACTTGTTCTTTTTTGTGTGGCTTATTTCACTTACCATAATGTTTTCAAAGTTCATCCATGTTGTAGGTTGTAAACTAATACATATATACATGTTTACATCCATGTAAACTATACACGTATATACTTTAGCTTTACTTGGCTTTCTGTTATTTACTTTTTTTACACTCACTTATTACTATAACCACAGTAAGAAACACCTATCACACTTAATAAGGACCTTTGTTCTCAATCCTGTTTCTATGATTCATTGTGGTTTGTGCATTTTCACTACTGTGTATGGTTCCATTTATCCCCTCTCCTATTGGTTATTTTGTTCCCAGTTTTTTTTTGTCCCTTACAGAACTGTGAGATTCTATTTTCCTAAACCCTAATATCAGGTGTCACAGTGCCTATAGGGATAGGCAGGGGTCAAATGAGTAAGGAAGACTGGGTGCCCACAACAGGGAGTGGTGGGTCCTGGTCAGTTGACGTGTACATGTTCTAGCCAAACTCAAACTGATTGTTGCTATGTGGGAATATAGGCCTATATTTTCTCAAAAGAAACTGGAAGTCTGAATTTTTTTTTAGTGCAAAATGTCCCGCTATTCAAATAATAGTACTAAATTTAAATGATGAAACAGGCTATGTGAGCCAAACAAAACAGGTTTCTGGGTGCAGTTCTTAGACCTCCAGCTTGCCACCTCTGCCTCATCCTTTGTCGAGTTCAGTGAACTCTGCTGTACTACCATTTTCTTCCCTGTGAGGTCCTTATGTGCACTCACTTTCATTTTAACATCCTGCTGCCTCTGTTTTGAATCTGACTTCTCATCTTCAGCTCCACTCTTTATGAGACAGGAAACCAGGATTTGAGTCGCTCACGTTAAATCTCTTCGACCTCCTGTGATATCCGTTACTTATGTTTTCCGTGTTTGCTTTTCCAAATGGGAGTGTAATTTAGGCTGCCTAAGGGACTTTTATGGATTTTCTTTATTTCCAGATTAAGATTGCTATCTGTTTAAAACACAGTATAACAAAAACAGCCATTACCAAATACTCAGAACTTCTTGGTATTCTGCTTTCTTCCAAAGAAAAGGAAGTCATTTTCTCTGATTGTAGATGGAAGCATAAACAGAAAACAATGATTAAAGTAAATGAAGGATTTCAGATGAAAGAGTACATACTAGAAACAGATATCTCCTTAACCTTGAGGTAGACTGTTTTTAAAAACCAACAGGAACT